GCAAAGAAAATCAGACCGATCTGGGAAACCCTACCAGGCCACAGAAGAAAACAGTTAACCTAGCCAACCTGACATGCAGTCAATTCGTATTTGGGCCGATTCTTCTTGCATAGGCTGTAAAATAAACCAATTAAAAGGCTGTGTAGGACATCAGACTGCATGTAGGCATATGATGGCATTGATGATGATGTTATTTATTAGTGTGATGGGGGAAGTCTCCTTGGTCACACCCAGCTCGGTTAATGGTAAAGGACTGCGGGTGACGTCCTCTGAAATATTTGGAAGGCTGAGGATTCCCCACTGATTCATTCCATGCTACCAATGCAAACGGCAACTTACAGGTAAGATCACTCTTGATCCTACTTAGCTTTTGTTCCTGCCTAGTTTACAGTCTGAAGGGAGGGAGAGAGAGGAGGGGTTGAAGGGTCTGAGCACATGCTGTTAAAGCTTGGCTATTGGTATTAAAAAGATGCTCAATAAGTAAATGGTTCTTTCGCATAGAAAACTCAACGCCAAAGGACAGGAGTGTCCCTGGGACAGTGGTTTTCTATGTGCAAATGTTATTTCTTTTTTTAAGTCTGGAGATTGATTCCTGCAAGGTGACTGTCTTTAGTTCAAAGAGATATATATATATTCCCAACACAAATTCAAGAGCAATTTTCAAAGCTCCGTTTCATAATTACAAAACTAAATAAATAAAATAAAATAAAAATAAATTTAAAAAGAGAGGGTCTGTGATACTTGTTAAGGTGGCTACCCGATTTGCCTCAGCTTTGGCGGATCTCTCAACCCATCTCTCCTGATGCCAAATGAACAATTCGCGGGACACCTCCCGGATCTCTGAATGTTACCTGGGGCGGTTTTAAGAGAACACCACTGCCTCCATCCGTATCAGCTCACCTGGCCCCCAACAATGACCATGAGACTTTGGGACGTGAATAAAAAATATTCATTTTCTGAACCACCCACAAGAACTTAATGCACAGCCTGAAGAAGATGACTGATCCTCGAAAGCTACCTGTCTCTTGGCTGCTTGATTTTTTTTTTAGAGGTCTAATAAAGGCACCAGTTTCTCATCCCAAGAGCCCCAAACCCCAAACCCCCGCTGCAACAGAACGCTGCCTCCCGAGCCCCCAACAGGGACAATTAAAAGCGGAATTTCCCCGCCCTCCAGGGAAGCCCTGCAGAGTGGGAAGCTCCTCCCCTTCGAACGCCCAGGCCCCGCCCCCGGGCGGCTTAGGGTTCCATCCAGAAGCCCCGCCTCCCTCCCCGCCCTTCCACCCACGTGTCCCAAGCGCGCGATCCGTGGGGATTCCCCGATGGGTCGGGAGGGGGCGCTCGCCTTTCTCCTCCGCCACGGCCGGGGCAGCCGGTCTGGCCTCGGGCGGCGTCTCGTCCTCGGTTTCCGTGGACAGCGCTTCAGTGGATTCCACGCAGCCCATCGCCCGCCGGCCCGGGCCGCTGAAGGGGAGCCGGCGGCACCGCCCGCCTTGCTTGTGTCCCCCCCCCGCCCCGAGGCGGCTTTGTGAGGTCACGCCTGAGCCTGGCCTCTTGGCCCCGGGGGGGGGGCAGGGGCAGGACCTGAGGTCGTTCCCACGACTTATTTCAAAACAAAAGATTAACATTGACAATGCCCCGCTTTTCGATTCATCATCATCATCTTAAGAGCTGGAAGGTCCCCTATGGATCATCGAGTTGTCAAGGAGGCACGGCGGGGATTCGAACAGCCAACCTTCGAGCAGTTCCACCTCGGGTTTTCCCTTCCCGTCTTCCTCTTCTAGGCCACATTCAGCATTTAAATTGATTTTTAAAGCTGCAGATGATCATGCTCTTAAAGCTGCAGATGATAATTGAAATCATGCTCTTAAAGCTGCAGATGATAATTGAGATCATACTCTTAAATCTGCAGATGATAATTGAGATCATACTCTTAAAAGCTGCAGATGATAATTGAGATCATACTCTTAAAGCTGCAGATGATATTGAAATAGAAGGGGGGAAAAGCGGTCTTTGCCCCTTTGTTAGAGGAGGTGAGTTTGGGTCTGGGGGTAGCCCCTGGATGGGGAACTTACACAGTGATGTCATAACAAGTTGAGGGGTGTTCATCATGGCAGCCCAGCCAGCCAGCCAAGTCCACAGCTGCTGCATGGATGGCTGCATATCAGCAAAGGAGGGGGTCTTTTGTGGGCTAATGGCTCTTAATGGCCCATTCAAAACCAAACCACTCTCAACATCCAATCAAAAGCCTGAGGACTGCTTGCAGCAGTAGGCAATATCTTTCTGGGCCACCCACCACAGCATGTGAAAGTCACAGCCATACCATTCAATTTGCCTCCCTTGTTCTCATTGCCGAAGAGTTATTAATTACATCTACAGTACTGTGCTAATAGATGCATGCTGGAAAGCCAGCATGTAGCAGCCTTTTTCCTGGGTTTTCCAGGTAAATACTCATAAGTTGCTTACTCTCTCTTCTGGAACTGTGCCGCTTGCCTGAGGCCACATAAGCTCTCTTCTCACAGGAGGCACAGTGGGGATTCGAACTCGTCTCTTTCTCTTTCTCACAGGAGGCATACTGGGGATTCGAACTCCCAACCTCCCAGAGGTTGAGCTACCAGCACTACTTAGTTCTGTTTGCTCTTAGAGTTAATAACCATTGAGGAACCAGATCTCCTTAAATCTTTCGGTTGAGCTACCAGCACCACTTGGTTCTATTTTGTTCTTGGGAGTTAACAACTATTGAGGAACCAGATCTCCTTAAATCTTTCTTTAAAGCCATATAATGGGAGCAAGTCCAGTTGAATTTGATGAAGTTTACTACTGGGTCAACACATGCCGGGTTGCGCTGCCAGTCACTAGTGTGGTAAGCACGTTCCGTAACTAACTGCTGTAAGACGTACATAATAATTGTGTGTCATCAAGTCAATTCAGACTTAAGGCAACCTTTTTCAAGAGGGAGGAGAGGTTTGCCACTTCCTCCTTCTGGAGGCATTCTTGGATTGTGCAGCTTGCCCAAGGCCACCCAGGCTGGCTCTGAGCTCTGGAGCCAGATACTCATTGAGCTACCCAGCCAATCTACTATTACTTTAATTACACCATAACCCCACCTTCGTTGTCTTTTTTTCTCGGCCCAATGGCCCCCAATTCTTTAGCTTTCCCATGCAGAGGGCCCCATTTTCGGATCCTCTCACTTACCCTTTTCTAAGTTTGTCTTGCTCATTCCATTACTGCACAATATCTATGTATTTAGATCAAAAGTTAGGGAACCTGGTTTCTGCTCAACTTTCACAAGTCCCAAGTCGGGGACGGTGAATGAGGAAGAATCACAAAATACCTTTTCCCCATTTCTCACTTTGATAAGGGCACAGTACTAGTGAGTTTTCTTTCCAGGGCTTTGCTAACAATATGCAGCACCAGTTTCTCATTTTTTAAAATACTAAACTAGCACACTGAACCAGAACTTTAACAGCACTGTATGCCATGGCGGACAAGATTTCTGTCATGGTCTGTTACCAGTTGCTCAGGCTCATTTGGTGTGTCTCTTAAATGTAGGATATGCTGCTCTGCTGAACACATGCTATTTGCAGAGACTCCGAACACTTCATTCAGCCCATTAGAAAGCTTTGTAAAGCACCCCACAGGATCTAGGGCCACTTCCAAAGATAGTGTGGCAGCTATGCCTGCTGCCATAGATGTTGGTGGTGGACAGAAGATCTGAAGACTTAATGCCAATCTTGTGCCAGCAACAGTGGCTTATAGTAAGGATCTAAGATCAAGAGGTGGAAATAATACCTCTGTATTGGCCTGTTAGGTTTGAGATAATTGGTTTGCATCCTACCAACTTTTAACAAAGTTGTTCCCCCCAAAAAATTCTTTATGCTCTTGTTTGTGCCATTTAGACCCGTCAGCTCCTGAAGCAGAATTCAAAGGACCAACTTTTGATAAGCCATTTGAATTCGCTATATTGATGTAGTCAGTTTCAAATGAGGACCAAGGGGAGAACTTCAAGTCTTATTCCTTGGGGACCCTGTAGGAGTACTAAGGGGGTGGAGTCAGAAAGCTGTCTTACAAGGTGATTGGCCATTTGTCCATTTGGCTTGGTTCTGTCTACACTGATTGGCTGTCCGGGATTTATTTATTTATTTGATTTATATCCCACCCATCTGGTCTGGTCATTTTCATTTCCAGATGCATCTCTCCCAATTCTACCTGCAGCTGTTGAGAATTGAAACAGATTTTTTTTCATATGCTCCATCCCCGAACGACAACTTTCGGCTGATGTTACAGGAAGGCATCTGGGTTCTGTGTAGGAAAACAGACTTGGCCAAAGATGCAACTTATAGTGCAAAACATTTTGATTACCTACTTTTCAATCACGTTAGTATGCACCGAGATGATCCAGATGTTGATAATAAAACAGTAATTTAAGCCAGTCTGCCCCATTCCTGCTACATTGCTACTGTAACATCTGGCAAGTGTTGATCACACTTTAGAATCTGAGGGATAGGATGTTAAAATTTATCCATTGCTACTGTAACATCTGGAAAGTGTTGATCACACTTCAGAATCTGAGGGATAGGATGTTAAAATTTATAATAAAGGCTGGAGAAGGATGTCTCGTTTGGGAAAGGTGGACTGGATCAGAGAAACCCAGTCACCAGTTTTTCCTCTTGCGTAAGAAAAGGGCTGAATGTTGGTGGCCACCTGGCACAACTACTCTGCTCACGACCCGAGTTCGACCCAAATGGACTTGGGTAACCAGCTCAAGGTTGACTCAGCTTTCCATCCTTCCAAGGGAACAATGTGTGGCCTGCAGAATGAAATTGTAAACTGTCCAGAGAGTGCGGTATGGGGTGGTACACAAGCAGCAAACTTTAATTTGTTTCTCAAAATAGTATCGGCACCATCTAACAGGGCCCTCTCAGGTTTCCCTTGCCATTGTTTGCATTTTACTCTTGGACGACCGGGCTCTAAAATGTACGTTTAAAAATAAAGTACCAACATCCACGCACAAAAAGCCATGTTTAATACCTTTACCTGGACAGAACTGCACAGCAGTCAAAATGAGAACAGAAGTGAAATGAAGGAACCTATCACCCCCCGTTTCCTTACTCCTAATAGATCGTCTTCTTCTTTGAAGATCTGAGTCATGAGAACCTGCAGAACGGAGCTTCAGCCATGCTACGTTCCACAGCTTAGGGGTGGGAGTAAGAATAAAACGCTCTCCAATATTGCAGGGACATCTACAGTCACCTAGGAGTCCTTTCTGTTTTTCTTTCTTCGCCTTAGACACAACCGAAGTTTTCCCAGGTAATAAACTCATGTCCAAGTTAAAGATCTGGGCGCTCCTGCCCCTCCTCCCTCTGACGATACCCCCAAAATATCAAGATTCTGCTTTTTTTATTTTCTTCTTCGTCTTGAGGGCCTTCTCTTTTGTGGTCTTCTCGCTTCCCACGTCAGAAGCGGGCTGGGGTTCTGCTTTCCGCTTTGCAGCCACCACTTCCATGGAGTTCCAGATGTCGTCCTCCTCCTCCTCCTCCTCTTTCTTCACCTCTTTCTGGAGGTCAGCTGAAGGGTCGAGGGCCTCCTCCTAGGGGAAGAAAGCCAGTTTTAACAGCAGATGCATCAATAACATCCATCTAGCGCAGGATTTATCTTATTTCCCTGCCATGATTTAAATTGCAGTTTATCATAACTCCGTAAGTTATAAAGTCTTTTCTCTCTCTTATTTGTTGGTCATAAGAAGCATTAATGTGTGAAATTAATATTGGAATACTGATTCTTCTTTTTAGTATTTTCCCATATGTTAAATAGGCTCTCTCTAATTATGTGTCTTTTTGTTTGAGGTTATATTTTTATAGACTGGATTTTTTTTTAAAAGGTAATTATTTAAACTATTGTCCAAATCTGAAGATTCTAAGCCCAGGATTCCTCAACCTTTTATATCTTATCAAAGAGAAAAGAACTGTCACAGAAACTCACTTTTACTGTGAGAGAAAAAAAAAACCTTTTTTCTCCCAAGGAAAAAGTCATTGAACATGGATGTTTCGGCAGGCTTTCCCTCCAGACAATTCCTGATGCCCTCTTCTCTCCCTCTCCTATTGTTTCCTCCCATCCTGTGTAATGTTTCTTTTTAAAAATTGTTTTTATATTTACCTTTTGTTCTATTTTATGCTGTTAGCCACCTAGAGTGGTCTTAACCGACCAGATAAGCGGGAAATAAATAAATAAATAAATAAATAAATAAATAAATAAATCCAGAGGAGAACACTGGAGAATTGGAACAAATTACCATTGACTATAAGCTTCAAAGAGTTTTTGTTAAAGAGCCTTAAAAATGCAGTGATAGGGTTGAGTAAATACAAGCAAAGAAAAATAATAAGCTCATTTAGAAATTGAAAATTATACTCTTACCAGTATTAATAATTAGTAATTAGAAAAGAACATCAAGTATGAGGATGTGGTCATTGGAGACCAAAACGAAGACCATCCACACTCTTGTATTTCAAATCACCATGTGTGGGCGGGTATAAAAGCTGGACAGTAAAGAAAGCTGACAGGGGAAAAATGCATCGTTTGAAATGTGGTGCTGGAGGAGAGCTTTGAGGATACCCTAGACTGCCAGAAAGATAAACAAGTGGGTCCTGAATTAAATCAAGCCTGAACAATCTTGGAAGGCAAAAAAGTGATGCAACAGAGGCTGTTCCACTTTGTGCCCATCAGAGAAGGCAGGATTCCCTGGAAAAGACAATAATGCTGGGAAAAGTGGAAGGTAGCAGGAAAAGAGGAAGACCCAGTATGAGATGGATTGATTCCCTAAAAGAGACCACGGGCTTAAATATGCAAGAGCTGCATTTGAAATGTGGTGCTGGATCACAGTCCCTGGTAGAACTGATATGTGCCAGGCAGGATAAATTCCTACCATCGCCAGAATTAAATCAAGCCTGAACAATCTTGGAAGGCAAAAAAGTGATGCAACAGAGGCTGTTCCACTTTGTGCCCATCAGAGAAGGCAGGATTCCCTGGAAAAGACAATAATGCTGGGAAAAGTGGAAGGTAGCAGGAAAAGAGGAAGACCCAGTATGAGATGGATTGATTCCCTAAAAGAGACCACGGGCTTAAATATGCAAGAGCTGAGCGGGGCAGCTGAGGACAGGACATTTTGGAGTGTGCTTATTCATAGGGTTGCCATGACTTGAAGGTAACTTGATGGCATATAACAACGTGACTTCTAGCTCCGAACTGTGCGACATGTGCCGCTAGCTGAAAACCACCCATCTAATTATAATAAGATCACAGTCCCTGGTAGAACACGGGCTTAAATATGCAAGAGCTGAGCGGGGCAGCTGAGGACAGGACATTTTGGAGTGTGCTTATTCATAGGGTTGCCATGACTTGAAGGTAACTTGATGGCATATAACAACGTGACTTCTAGCTCCGAACTGTGCGACATGTGCCGCTAGCTGAAAACCACCCATCTAATTATAATAAGATCACAGTCCCTGGTAGAACTGATGTGCGCCAGGCAGGATAAATTCCTACCATCGCCAATCAACTGATTTTTAAAGTCAAGCGACAGAAAAGAGATCTGTTTGAGACCCTGGAAAGCTACTGTCAAGACTAAGAACCGTACTCGATGTAATATAGTTTCCCACCGGCTCATGAGAAGCCCAGGAAGATTTTTTTTAAGGTAGCTGTATAAAATCCAGCTGCTTTGCTCCTCCGGATTTCCAATAAATATGCACATACCATTTTTGCATGAAAAGTGTATGTATGTCATCCCAAAATGTGGACTCATTCTGGAGACCCAGCCTCATCATGACTAGGAAGTCTGATGTTACCTCCCTTCTAAGATGCCCTTGGCGTCCAACTCACCTCCCATTTCTCTTGGCTGGTCAACAGCAGGCAGTTCAGTCGAGATTTCAGATAAACCTGGAAGGACCAGAGACTTTTTCGGTTAATAGAATGGCAACTACCTTCGTTGATTTCAGTACGAGTATTATTTTTATTATTAATATTTTAGTACAAGCAGTATGGCAGCTGTAAGACGAAATGATTTACTTCAGCTTGAGCTTTTGTGGATAAAAATGTACTTCTTCAGACAGCTAACCTTCCCATCACCTGATGCATTTTCTGGGTCGGAGACAGTGCAAAAGGCACATCACTTTTATAATCCACTACCATTCTGGCATTAGTATAATGTTGTTAGTCTTAAAGAGGCCACAATACTTTTCAGCTTTCTTATTTTCAGCACAGAGACAGGTATTAAACCGACAGACCCCCAAAACCAGGGAGGGAAAAAAAAATTAAAACTCAAGTTAGCAAATCAAGGCAGTACTTTGGCTTTAACTAACAGAATTTTCAGGAACATTGTCAATTTTCGTTTTTTTTTTCTATTCCCCCCCCTCAACAAAAATGGAAAAAAAGTGTTATTATTATTATTTGAGATACAGTGGTGCCTCGCTTAACGACGTTAATTCGTTCCAGCAAAATCGCAAAGCGTAAAGCGAAATAAAAAGCCAATTGAAATAAAAAAGCCAAGTGAAGATCCTCCATAGGGGCAGCCATTTTTGGTACCCGTAGAGCGAGGAATCCGTCCAAAAACACAGTGTGGAGCCATTTTGAGCACCCGGCAGCCATTTTGAAAACCCGATGATCAGCTGTTATGATCGTCATAAGGCAAAGAATCGGTTCCTGAAGCAGGGAACCAATCTTCGCAAAGCGAAAAAAACCCATTTATAACATTGTTTTGCAATCGTTAAGCTGAGCACGACTGTACAGAAAGCAGACTGTGGCTGAGCGGGACCATGAGGAGCAGTTTATATACTTGTCGCAAGATCAAGTAGAAAAGTTTTGCTTCTGTTTTAATCCTCCCTCCGCAGAAAGATCTACAGAGCTGGAACTGCCTCCTGTATTTTAAGAGGTCTCATACAACATTTGGCCCCTTGGATATTCTCTTTTCTGCAAGCCCAGAACGCCATTCTTGGCTGTGCTAGTGAAGGACAAGCTTGGAAAAGCAAAACAGAGAAGCAACAGAACTCCCTACCTCAGGAAGGCATGACTAGCTGGCTGGAACCCTTGCAAGAATATTCCAGCAAGGTGTCGAGAATATGATGCAACACTTTGTTAAAAGGACCCAGTGAATCGACATGGAATGCTACATTTTCCCGGGATACAGGCTTGGCTCACCTTATGCTCCAAGCGTTTGTGCTGGAGGTTGTGCACACGAAGGAATCGGTCGAGGCCGCAGGAGGCTACCAAGGGGAGGACAGGGTGGCACTGGATGGCCCGCACGCTCCCAGCGAAACCCTTCAGGCACTTCACCAACCGCCCTGTCATGGGGAAGACACGATCGCCAGGTTAGGAGGGCAGTGTGTATCCTGCCAGAGCACCACTCACATACAAGGCATCCTCTTCAGCACTCTTGAGAACTTCTGCCATTTCTCTTAAATGAAACAAGATCCTAGTCCTCATGGTTTTAAAGGCCAGGATCAAAGTTGTGCTAATATTTATTGGTTACATACACAGAGGTGCCTCGCTTGACGACGTTAATTCGTTCCAGCGAAATCGCTGTAGAGCGAAACAGTTGTCAAACGAAATAAAACAACCCACTGAAACGCACTGAAAACTGTTCAATGCATTCCAATGGGCTGAATACCTGCTCATCCAGCGAAGATCCTCCATACGGCAGCCATTTTCTGGTGCATGTTACTGATCATCCTAAAGCGAAAATCGGTTCCCGAAGCAGGGAACCGATCATCGCAAAGCGGAAAAACCCCATTTAAACCATCATTTTGCGATCGCTAAACCTAATTGTACAGCGATTTCCTTGTTAAGCGAGGCAATCGTTAAGTGAGGCACCACCTTTTCTCCAGTAAGCTGGAGGTGGAATATAGGATTCTCTTCTTCGCCACACTTCAATATGAAATAAACAACAAGGTGGGACAGTTTCTAAAAAAAATCACGTGCTGGAGCCTGCACGTTTAAATCATTACTACGAATGCGGTTTAAGCAGTTCTGGATCTAAAACTAACTTAAAGAATGCAAGTGGTTTATGAAAAGACAGCCACAGCATATGAGGCACTATTTGTTGGGATGCCAAACAGAATGTCAACCATTTGCAGTTCTTTGCCCTCTTAACTATACAAAAGTACTATATGTTGCTCTGAAAGTTTGAAGACGTGTTTTCTCATAAAATTATTCTCAGTAAAAGCTTTGAATGTAATCTTTTAACCTCACGAAGTACATTTTTAATCCAAACAAACATTTCAGTCCAAATATTTATGGGCTACAGAAACATCAGTTTTTGCAACTGCCAATCAAGCGTACCTGCCAAATCAGATAGTGCTCTTTGTATTTTACTGGGAAATTTCCCAGAAATCCCCCATTAAATGGTTCCTACTAGAAATGGCTGGGTTTAGTGATGATCTCAGTGTGTCTTCTTTTCATACAGCAAAGGGCAAGAATCTCCTGGCAAAATCCAATGTTAACAGCACCCAGAGTAATCTGAAATGAGCTGTCTTTGTAAGTCACCTCTTATGTAAGTCCCATTGAGTTCAGTGGGTCTACTCCATTTGAGATTAACATTAGATTGACTCATTGCCTTGGCTCTGGAGGTAAAAGGAGGTGCTCGGCTGCGCAGGAAGAGGGTGCAGAAGACAAAATATGTTTAGAAGGCAGGCCCAAGCACAAAAGAAGCATTGGTTAATTGGTATGTTTGTTTTTTAACTACTGTGGTGCCTCGCTTGACAACATCAATTCATTCCAGTGAAATCGCTGTAGAAAATGTTGTCAAGCGAAATTAAAAAAAAAAAAAAACATTGAAACGCACTGAAAACCGTTCAATGCGTTCCAATGGGTAAAATACCTGCTTGTCCAGTGAAGATCCTCCATACTGCGGCCATTTTCTGGTGCCTGTAATGCGAGGAATCAGTCCCTAACACAGCGGGGAGCCATTTTCTACAGCCGGCTGTCATTTTGAAACCTGACAATCAGCTGTTTGCTGATCGTTGTAAAGCGAAAAATTGGTTCCCGAAACAGGGAACCAATCAACGTTAAGCAAAATTCCCCCATCTAAACATCGTTTTGCAATCGCAAAAACGTCAACATTAAGCGGATTCGTTGTCGAGCAGGGTAATCGTCCAGCGGGGCACCACTGTATAATAACATTTACATACTGTTTTAAAAATTTCTTATTTTACCTGTCGTGGGTCCTCTATGGGGAGAAAGGTGGCATATACATAATTTAAATAAGTATGTTGATAATGCAGATTGTATTTACATACTGTTTTAAAGTTTTCTTATTTTACCGGTCGTGAGTCCTCTATGGGGAGAAAGGTGGCATATACATAATTTAAATAAGTATGTTGATAATGCAGTGTAGTGGTAAAGGCACTGGACTCAGACTTCAGAGATGCAGATCTAAGTCCCTATTGAAATGAAATTCTTCTTATTTTACCTGTCGTGGGTCCTCTATGGGGAGAAAGGTGGCATATACATAATTTAAATAAGTATGTCGGTAATGTGGTGTAGTGGTTAAGGCACTGGACTCAGACTTCAGAGATCCAGATCTAAGTCCCTATTGAAATGAAATTCACGGTGTGAATCTCATCTAGTGACAAAGCTGGCCCTTCAGGTACTCGGCTTGCTTCTGAAGCCTCTTTCTGCCTGTCTCCTTTAGCTCACCCGACTGCGTTTGCTACCAACATAAGTATGTCGGTAATGTGGTGTAGTGGTTAAGGCACTGGACTCAGACTTCAGAGATCCAGATCTAAGTCCCTATTGAAATGAAATTCACGGTGTGAATCTCATCTAGTGACAAAGCTGGCCCTTCAGGTACTCGGCTTGCTTCTGAAGCCTCTTTCTGCCTGTCTCCTTTAGCTCACCCGACTGCGTTTGCTACCAACTTTTAAACCCCCTTCAGTCTTTTCTCCTATTCACTGCAGACTGACCTTGCCGTAGATCTATGACTGCTACATCCCCTCGTGAACTTCCAACGACAACAGAGCTGCAGGGAAGCATGAAATAAAGTAGTAATAATAAAAAGGAATTCAATTATTTTTTTCCTGTTTTGCACTGGAAAGGAATCTTATGCCGGCAGCACTTTCTGGCGCCTCAAGATCACTGCCCTTAGGGGGTCTATCCTCCAGAAGAAAGCTGGCCTTACTGAATTTGAAAACCAGCTATGTACACACACACACACTCCAAGTGAATCTTTGCGAGACAGGGGAGAGAGACTCACTTTGCACCTGGAGTCAGTGAGAGGGCTGTGAGCGGGTATTCGCCAAAGGTGGCCTCCAAGACTGGCCGTCGCTGTGGGGAGCTGGGGTCGTAGAGCCGGACCTGTGGGCCGAAGACTAAAAAGGTTAACAGCAGAACTCTTCCCTTGCCTCCGTACCCCTAAGTGGTACAAACTGGAAGAAACAGTGAAGATCAAGACAGCCGAAAAGCTTACAAACGGAATTCCTTTCATTTGGCTGTGTTTTTACTACCTTTTGCACAATGAAGAAAACATTAGGGAATAGTAGAAGGTTAGACTTTTATTACTACTTTCCCATTTATTATTTAGAAGCACCAGAAAACTAAATTATAAAACAGCATCAGCTTAGGAAGGCTCTGCTAAATGCTTCCTGATAGCCTGATTAGCTGCTTCTGATAAGGTCCTGCTTAGTGTAACCACATCTGTTGAAAGTGAGGTGCAAGGCAGGGGTTCACAAACAGACTTAAGTGAATAAGAGAGAGAAGATAGGTCTTGCCATATTCCAGCCTCAGACCATTTAAAGTGTCAAAGCATAAATGGGCAAGCAAGGGTGACCACATTTCTGCGCCCAAAATCCATCCGGGGACATGCTGCTCCCCAAAATGTCCCCCTAGAAAGAAAAAGAAAAGAAACCCAACAGTAAGCAGTCAGAGGGCCCCCGTCGGTTTACTGCTGTTGTTTTGTGTGTCTGGGGATATTTGGGGGGGGGAATGATTTCAGGAGTGAAAAATACACTTCTTGGGGCAAAGTATGCAACGGATGAACAGAAAATTAAAAAAAAAAACTATATGCCTCATGAAGATTTCTCACTGAGCCCCAAAACTTACAGGTAGCCAATGTTCAATGCAAAATTAAATGCACATTCCCTAAAAGCCATGCAACAATTAACATTCTTGCTGCCATATTCCAAACTCTTTTCCGATGCAGCTGCACAGCGAATACATTACAGACACCCCATTTCCAGTGCATGCATTTTTCCCAGCTTGTACCTGGTGGTGCCCAGTGCAGGTAACAATTTTCTCTGACCCGGGCAGGAACTGCATGTCTCTGTCCCAGACAGGAACCCTCAGATCAAGCCAGTCATTTCGTACCTGTGGCAGGAGAAAACGCAAGGAATGGTATGAATGGAGGGAAGACATCCTTCTCTAGTAAGAACTAATATGCAGTAAAAAACCATAGATCCTGCATCCAAGTAAAAAAAAGGGAAAACAGGCAAATAAAAGAGTACAAGCTACTTACATTTTTGGCTCGGAAAATGGGCTCCTCTGGTTGGTGAAGGTCCCACACCTTCAGGCAGTTCTCTTTCCCACCTGTGGCTACGCGGTGAGGATGTTCGGGGTTCTGGCGCATACGGCACACACCCGGGCCCACCTGGATCTCCACCTGCCACCAAGGCAGATAAAAACCAATGATTTTTTAAAAATCCAAATGATTTTAATAAAAAAATTGATTTAAAAAAATTACATGGTCAAAATATCAGATTTTGGGGGGGATTTAAATTGTGATTTAAAACAAATCCACCCTGATCATCACTAACATTGCAATAATTTTGTCACCAAGTCAAGTCAAACTTATTTATTAGATCCTTTTAAGGTTGTGGATGATGGCCTGCAATAGTTTTAATGTTTTAATTTTATGTTTTAAACTGTTTTATTTTAAATAGTTTTAAAGGACTTGTGTTTTAAAACCATTTTATACAGCATTGCAATCTGTCCTAAGATCTGGGGATATACATCAGGCTACAAGTATTTTAAATAAATAAATAAATTCGCCTTCGCCAACGGTCAGTGGCAAAAATATATTGGGCAACAAAATCCAACAAGATCTAGCGAGTCACAAATCTTCCATTCTTGGCTTTGTTGAAACACTCAAATCTACAATGAAATTTATTGTGTTTGAAGAAGCCAGGACTGCAAGCCATGTAGAAAATCTAGAGGTCCTGAGGTAAAATTATGCTCAAATTTTGTGTAAGAATATGTAAAAAGCTTGTGCCACAATATAATTTTATTAGGATTATAAAGGTTATATATGTGAGGAGAAAAAGTTATTTCTAACTAAGGCTAGTTACTTTGAGACTGAGGCCTGCTCTTGGTAAGCCTGTTAAAATTGCCCAAGCTGTTGCCATGGTTACCAAAGAAGCTGTTATGGTCCACAGTTAGAACTGTCAGCTAACTACAAGGAATTTGAAATGACAGCTTGTGATAGGTCATTTATACTCATTATGCCGGCTCTGATTGGTTCGCGTTTACCGGCCAATGAGCTGGACCATATGGTGGAATTGGATGTTCATTGGTCAGGGAGTCCTGACTGAAACAGTATAAAAGGGGCTGTTTGAAGCTGCCAGAGGGTCAGTTGGCAGAGGGTGGTCTGGCAGCAAGGGCAATGGAAGATGGCAAGTGTAGTTAGGAAGGGGCAGAAGATGAGCTGAAATCACTGAAGGTAGAAGCAAGGAGGATAAGGAGAGCCATGGACAGAGGACTCCAGAAGTGGCCAATGGAAGTTGGCATGAAGGAGCAGAAGGATTTCTAAGGCAACCATGACATCATTTGTGCTGGATCCTGCTTCTCAACTACATGACAGGAGGAAGACTTCAGGAAAAGCTGAAGTAAGCCTACCAAAAGGGAGGGAAAGCTAAGGTCTGTTGTCAGTGACCTAATGGGAGGTTGTGTTCAATATGGTATCCTATCAGGGGAGCCCAAAGCCAGAGAGAAGGCTTCAGGTTTGGGCCTTTGTGTCATTCTTGGGAGATAACCCAACTGGGATAAAATAAAGGATAAATATTTTGCTTAGGTGAATTTACCCTAGGCATCCAGTATCTTAAAAATGACCACATATACTGCTTCCATCAACAGAATAAGAACAAAACAGCCCCTTAATATTTTTCTGGATACATTACAGTTTGTGTGTGTGTGTGTGTGTGTGTGTGTGTGTGCATGTGGAGTGCCTGCTATTCTACTGTTGTAATGATAAGTTTATCAAGATTTTATGAGCTAAAATTAATTTATATTAGAATGTAAGAACATTTGATGAGAAAAAAAATACATGAATAGGCTGCAGTGTTCAATTATCCAGGACCCAAGTTTTAAACCAAGATTTTTTTGGTCTAAATACAATGGCTTATCTGGGCATTAAAAAAAAAACAATTCTAAAAACAATCATAGCTGCAAGTGACATCTAAGGTCATCTAGTCCAGCCTTCATATGCAGGGACTCCATCACTGCAGCACCCTAATGGGTCATCAAAGGTCAGCTTGGAGGAAGCCTAAGCCTTGAGGTCCAGACCAAGAAGGAACCAAACTGAACATGGAAATCCATTCTTCATGTGCATCTTGACATATAGATCCCACAGTGTCCAAAAACATCATCCCATCAAAGCAAAACCAATACATTCAGGAATTGCCATAGCTGATTTAAACACTCATTCAAACAGCTCCAGTGCTCATCTCCACATGGATGTCATGTGAATTGCTAAAGGATTACTAAAACACCTGTCCTGTCCTTAAAAGCAAAAGCAAAGTGCTGCTGCTATACTGCCCCATAGTGTTTAAAGCACTTTCTGGGTGGTTTACAATTTAATTACACAAGGCTACACATTACTCTTTCCTCCAGCAGGCCAGGTACTCATTTTACTGACCTCGGAAGGCTAGAAGGCCGAGTCAACCTTGAGGCGGCTACCTGGGATTGAACCCCAGGTCGTGAGCACAGTTTTAGCTGCAGTACAGCAGTTTAACCATGGTGCCACAAGGCTACTCTTCTATCCTCTTTATCCCACTTCCACATCAAACACAAGAAGGAACTCACATTTTCAGAGGAAGCATCCTGCCAGACCTTCAGCAATCCAGATGCTACACAAGTGACAAGGGACCTGAAAGAATAAATTAGAACTATGAGAGGGAAACACAGGCATAAACAATGAAAACACTCAGATGAGATTACAACACAATATTAAGAGACCCCAAACTCCACATTTTCAGGGAAGCTAGCCTTTTCCAAGGAGTTAAAAACATATAAACCTGAAGGAATTAGCTTTACCCATTAAGCATAGCCAGGCCACAGAAGGGTCCCTCGCCTCCATGACAGTCTCGAGACTCAGTAAACTTGCCCTTCTCAGTACTGAACAGCCTCACTGATCCATCAAGGCATCCCACAAAGATCTGTGAGGAAATAAATTGGCAAAGAGAAGAATAATTTGGGCCAGTCTGACTCCTCTTTTCAATAAGTGTTCTAATTCAGTAGTAGAATGTGTGCAAACAACGGCATATTCAGTTCTCTTGTATATCTAGTTAAAACTGTTTCATGTATGAAAAGCTAGAGAAGGTTTCTAGTTAAAATCCTGGATAGCTGATGTAACAGAACCATACGTACTAGCCTAGACGCTGCATTGATCTAATTCAGAAAAGGCAGCTTCATGCATTCAAGTCCCAGTCAGCCACCCCACTGGCTGCTAACAATAGGGAAGGTTTATTTCTTGGATAGTAACTATAGTGGGGGGTGCACCTTGCCATGTGTGTAGATGATACAAAACCAGAGCAATGATTGAAGTGATCTGGCATACAACAGCTTCCCACATTCAAATAAGCTTTTGTACAGTTTTAGCTGCACAACAAGGAAAATTGGGAGCACTTTCGTGCAACCAACAAAAATCGGATTTTCTAAGCCTTGGATGTACAGTATTGATGCTGCCTTGGTAGTCTGTTAGTTTAAGACAAACATCTCTTCAGCCTTCCATTATACAGTACATTCATTCTACTTCAACATTTCTTCTCATTACTTATGAAATATCAACCGCTCACCTCAGATTCAAAGGCATCCCCCCAACACATGGCAGTGACTGCTTCACGTCGACTGAGAGTCACATCACCCAACTTAAAATTGGTGGCCTGTTTCTTCTGCAAGTTGATCCCTAAAAGTAGGGGGGGAAGGAATGAAACCAGGAAGTGGGATGATGGAAGAAAGGAACACAGCGATGGCAAACTCATCCTGGACAATTCACCACCACTTGCCCTTAATTTGACAAAGTAAACAGCACAGGCAGGGGTAGGCAACACATTCACCTTCAAATACGGTGGAATACGATTCTCACAATCCTTTCACACATAGGGGATGAGTTAGAGAAATTATGCTTCAAAATATCTGCAAGGCACCAACTTTTCCAGCCTTGGGCTTTCAGCCAGTCCCCTAACTATGCTCCTGAAGACTGGCTTCATCTTGAGAGGAATCGGGCAAGTGAAGTTCACAACAGCCGGTCTGGATCTTCAGATCAAGTCCCTGTTGCAGGCACACAGGTCAAAAATCGAGTGGAAAAAAGAGCTCTAGGCGTCTACAGTTGCTTTTGCTCTGTCCTTTTCTGTATCTCTGTCCACATTTTTACCCTGAAACTTCACTTCCTCCTTTAACTAAGAACAGGCCAAGAGATCTACCAAAGGCTCATTCAGTACTGCAGTGGCTTGAGAGCAACTGCCCTCTTGTTCTCTACCCCCCAGCGGTTCTATCTCCAGAGCTGGCACTCCCATTTCACCGATACCCGTTGCTAAGCTTATATCCCAGCCCTCTTCAACCTGACACCCTCCAAATGCACTGGACTACAACAGCCATCCTCCCCAACTGGCAACGCTTTCCTTTATATAATAATGATAATTTATTGTCATTGTAAGTATACCCATACAACGAAATACTCCATTACCTTTCAAGATGCCTGTCTCGGATCCCACCCACACGTGGCTCGAGTGTGCGGGCGACGCCATGACTGCCCTTCCGAATATATTTCCGGCCGGATGCTTTAGCGTGCGGCACCCGAACGCTGCCGTGCCATCTGATTGGCCAGCACAACTTCCTCTGTGTCACACTCATATTCTTCCCCAGTTACTTTTTTCCCCCCTTCCCCTTTTTCCACCCCTGCTGGCTATTTTTAGGATGTGGCAGAAGAATATCAGGCGTTTTCCCCCAACTGTCCTCTATTTAAAATTATTTTGCCTGCAAAGAGTTCTTTCCAATTTCAAAAGTGTGTAACATATTATCGGTTCTAATAAAAGGAAGGAGCCAACTGAATTTTGAACTTATTCCAGATTTCTCTAAGCGGTCCCATCTGGAGGAGAGATTTTTCAGGTGTTTAAAAATCTAGTACCTTAGCATTCAAGTCAGTACATAGTCTGATGCACACTGCATCGTTGCAACGTGCACACCTAAAATCACAAGACCCTGTAAAGAGTCAGTGCGGTAAAGTGTAATGGTTACAGTGATGGACTACCAAGGGCTGTGTTGTAATCTTCTCTTGGACATGACACTTATTGGGTGACCTTGGGCAACTCGGAATTTCTCAGCCTGATCTACCTCACAGGATTGTTGTGACGATGAAATTTGGTGAGGAGCCATGAGAGCCCCAAGTTCACTGGAGGAAGACAGGGATATCAGCGCAGCTAACATATTAACAAAGAAAAGAGGCGTAAGAATTGTGTGCTGGGAAAACACCATGTACTATGGAAACCAAGATCTACAATTCCTAAACCAATATTGTTAATTTTAGCGAGCACTGAAAGTGAGCTGGTTTTAGTTTTGCCACTTTTAGCATTGGGGAGCTTTGGCATGCAGAAATTAAATTGAGTTAAACTTTCCTCATCATTATCGCTATGTTAAATAAATTGTACTGTATTTATACTGTCCAATCCACCATCCATATTCAACCTGAGAACTGGATTCATAGTGTTACATTATTAGCTAACCAGTTATTAATGCTGAATAGGTCCTGGCTAAGAAAATAGCATCAGTCACACCCAGTTCTTACGTCATTTAGATTTACGTATTGTTTTCTATACCTGATTTTATGTTTGAGCAAGATTATTCCATTTTCCACGGGTGATTCAAAAGTTTTGTCCTAAACTTGCTTCACATAATTCTGCTGAGTGGTTCCACTCTTTACCAATTCACAATCCTGTATGTTGTGTGTAGTATAAAGAAATTCCAACTGAACTCAGTAAAACCTAGTTTATTTATTTATTTATTTGATTTATATCCCATGAGTTTGGCTGTACTCAAAATGCCGTTTTGGGCAAGAAGCATAAAAAGCATTTGTGCTCATCAGGATAGTAGCCTTCCCTGGTATTTAAATGAACAGTGACTGTCTTAGGACCTGGTTACCTAAAGGACCGCCTTCTTCCATATGAGCCTGTCCATACTCTTAAGATCAGTCCAGGAGGCCCTTCTGAAGGTGCCATCCCTGAAAGAGGTGAGGGGGATGACATGTTGAAATAGGACCTCGGCTGTTGCCCCTCAACTTTGGAACACCCTCCCTATAGAGATCCACCTGGTGTGGACACTTCTGGTTTTTCGGTGCCAGGCAAATACCTTTCTGTTTAGCCAGCATTTTAATTAAATAGTATCCTTTTAGCTGGCTGTATGAGCAGCAGGATTTATTAAAATTGGATATTATTTTAATGGTGTTTAATGTTGTTTTGAAGTTTTAATATTGCTGTATGCCGCTCAGAGACCATTGGTAATGGAGCAGCTAACAAATCTTGTAAATAAATAAATATCCGCTGTCTGTGTAATTAGGTAATTAGCAGTGTTCTTTTGTGATAGATGTGGGCACAAGAAATAAAGCACAAGAAGTACTTAATTGGAGGCATAACCAATTTATTTCAAAAGTTCTGACAGTAATATATGTGATTTTGCACGTGAACACTCAAAAGCACCCTCTTCTCCATGGCAGGTTCGCCAGTTCCAGAAACAGAACCTGGGTTTTAAAATTGAGTTTAGCTAAAGTGCCCCAAAAGTAACTTTTCTAAGGTTCTGGTCCTGGACGTGGAGGCTTGGGCAGGCCTGGCTGGCTTCATGACGCCCAACCCCTTGCGCTCTTGGCTCCTTCTTGCGGGTGAATTTTTGCACTGGACCCCACTCGCCAAAACGTTCTTTGCACTTCCAGACTTCGGCTGTTTCCACGATCAGTTGGGGTCCCCCTCTCCAGGCCGTGCTCGTTGGGCCCGGCGATGTGCGGGCCAACCCTATAGTGCCCAATCTTGCCACCCATCTTGCCTCTGGCCTTCTGCCTTCCCGTCCAACTGCTAGGGCTTAGAGGAGGTCTGGTATGACAACCCTCCATAGCCACCCTGGCCAGTGGAGGACTCTGGAGCCAGCCTGAGCCTCATTTTGGTCCAGCGAAAGAGAGAAAGTGCCTCAGTCGGCACCAAAGTGGGGCTGGAAGGCCAGCGACCAAAGCTGGCGCTATCAGGAGTCATCGGAGGCCTTCGTGGGAAAAAGAAACAAACGGACCACCTTCTGTCCGATCTGCTTTGCTTTGGATGGATCCTTGCCTCGGGCAGGGCGTTGGGCTCAGTAGCCTTCGAGGCCCCTTCCAGCTCCATGATTCTAGGATTCCGTGAGGCAGTTTTCCTTCCAAGTCAGTTTTCCTTCAGGTCATCACCCGAGAACGAACCTTCCTCTTGGGGAAGCCGAGCAATAGAATCTTTGCAATTTTAGAAAAATGTGTTCTTCGCGTCCTCCTCAGCCTCCCTCACCCAAACTCACACACTCGCTTACCCTCACATATATACGTGTGTGGGACACATATGCTTTCAGGCTGCCAGCATGTCGAAAGAAGGGCAGGGCCCTCAGTCATTTCTTGCCCCCCCCCGCTCCCACCATTCGTTTATGCCACCACTCAGCCGAGGAGCAGAGAACGTGACCGGGACCCCAAAACTAGAACTGGCCCCCCTGCTCCTGATGGTTGGCCACCTGCCTCTCCACCCAATACCCCCGGAACCCCTAACCTCCAGCAAGGGGAGGCCATGCTTCCTCCCTTGGGCTCCAACATGCCATCTTGCCGAAGAACAGAAAGGCTTTGGTGAGCCTCTCTCCCTCCTGGCAACGGAGGCGCAGCACCCAGCAAAACTCATGGTCCTCACCTGCAAGGGAAAGCGTAGGAGACGTGTCAACAGTGGTTGAAGTCCACTCAGCCTGTCACATCCATCAGCATGTCACTGATTCAACATTAGGTGGAAGGCGAGGGTGTCGAATTATATGTTTTTAGGATCAACTGTTCCTCTTCTTCCAGGTGAGAGTCTGCCGCTTAAGAGATTGTCTCCACAATCAAATTTCCCAGAGAGAAACAAAACATCTGGTCTGTTACTTGCCGTAAAAATAGCCATTCAACTTCTGTTCATGCAGTCAGATCAAAAATCTTCCTTTCTCCCCCTTCTCCTCCGATCAGCTATGCGCCAATTCATCATTCATGAGTCAGTTGCAATTGAGGAAAAGAAACTCCTCTGAAAAAGCAGATTGCAGTCTGGAGTCTTCGGCAGTCTCCAGCTCCCCTGCTACTGCCCCACTTCTGTGGAAACTCACCTCCCCCCTTTCTTGGGGGGGGTCTACTAACTCGGAATAAACCCAGGGGTTCTCAGAGCCCTGAGAATTCCCCTGTTCTCACTGCCCATTGCTCCACCCCCTTAAATATGGACAAATTTAGTTGGCTGAAAAGGAACAATTCAGCAAAAATTCAGTAGGGCCATCCATCCATCAAAACATGTATCCTAGATCCTTGGTAATGATCTGAACATTTGTAGTGGAAATATACTACTGTGTGTGTATATATAGAGAACATCTATATGTGTGTGTGTTCTTGGACTACTGTTATATTTACTTATATGTGCGAGTGAGTGTATGTGTGTGTGTGTATGTATATGTATATAAGTGCATATATGTATAAATAAGTATATACAGTATAAGTATATACTTATACTGTGTATATATGTATATACAGTACTTATGTATGTATATATATATACACATACACAATAGTATATTTCCACTACAAATGTTCAGATCATATATATATTTGCTATTTCCTTCACAGTAGTCACATAGTAAGTAAATATAACAGTAGTATTATTTCCACTTCAAATGTTCAGATCATTACCAAGGATCTAGGACAGTCACAGTTATTTCCTTAAAATATGCACTGTTCCAAGTAAGACAGCCTGCAGTTGGTATACTGTGATGTTTGTACACCAGAGTACAAATATGGATTTCTAGGTCTTTCAGTATATTATTATTATTACTGCTACAACACTTTGTTTCTCAGTAATGCTTATAAAGACTGTACATTAGGAAACAAGTCTTAAACATTTGCAGGAGAGATGACAGAAGCAGTAGCTGCTCAGTGTACTGTATGGTGATACAATTTTTTGTAAAAGTGAACAAAATATGAGAGATTGCTTGATTTAATAGTACATAACACTGTTTTTGCAAGTGGGCATCATTCATCATCCTAAGCCTCCACCTTAGGAACCGTTCCAGGGTTCTCACTGGCAAACCAGGCGCACACCCCTGGAAAAGAGGTTTTGAGCCTTTTCCTGCTCCTCCCCCCCTTCAGTTTCCATTACCTTGCCTGCCTTCATAGAGTCTCAGGATTCTTTTGTTGCCCACCATGCCCGACATCGCTCGGGAAGCACAACGCAGCATGCAAGTACTGAATGTGGGCGTCAGGCGGCGCTCCTCCTCTCGTGCTGCAGCACTGTCTTCTTGCGGGCAGGGTGCCCACACGTGGGCGGCCTGTCTCTCCGTCATAGCCACATCACCAGTTGGGGAGCTAGGAGCGGCTACCACCAGAAGCAAGGCCAGGCCTAGCCAACAATGGCAACCCATTGCAAATTCCGGGTACGCCCCAGGAACAACGCTTCTGCGAGCCAAGATGGGGAAAAAAAGGGAAACAGTCAGGTCGAGGGCCGGACCCGACCGTCCAAGCAGGCCTGGACACGCAGCTCCAGCCTGTGTGCCAATATCCTTTGCACTGGTATCTGCTGGATGATTGCCCAGGACAGCTGCCAGGAGATACTTTTAACAGGGAATCGGATGGGAGGGAAAAAAATGATCGTGAGGAATGAAGGGGGGGCTGAGATTGCAAAAGGTGGGTAGTTTATGTAACAGGTAACCTTGTGTGGACATTGCAAGGACCAGCTGTTTTAACCCCTTGCATTCAGTCAAGGATAGCAACATGGGATGGTTGAAACAAAGAGAGAGGGTTTCTCAATGGTACCTCTTTTGCAGTTTTTCCCCTTCCGAGTCCTGGGCCCACTCTGTGCAGATTTAAAGTGGAATCATCTCGTGGTGAACAAGAAAATCATGCAAGCAGGCCAGGAAAGCTTAGTGGCTGCTCCTTCTTTGTCTCCAGGCCATTTGCCAGAAACTGGCAGTGTTGTGCACCAGCCAAGACTTGTTGCTTCAACAGGGGCACGATGCCAACTTCGGGGGGCCTCTCACTCAATGAAAGCAGGCAGATACTGGGCTCAGAGCAATAAACACGCAAACAGGCGGTGCTAACTGTAATAGTGAGATGAAAACGGGGCCCACCAAACAAGTCCTGACCCCAAATGGAAAACGAATACCCTACCTTTTTCAAAACATTAAGATATGAAGCCCTCAGGCTGCATAGTGTCATGAACATTGATTGTTAGACTGCATTTAATGCTCTTCTTTACTATTGGACTGGTTGGAACTGTGGTCCAGCAACATCTGGAGATCTGCACCTTCCCCCACCTCTGATCAACAAATAGGTACCTTCTTTCTTCTGTAAGAAGTCAGAAGCAGCAAACCTCATCCTACTTCCCCCCCAATTCCATAGGAGCTTGCTCTGTTTCCCATCCATCTCCAATCTAAAATCACCCAGATATTCTGAACGACTAATCCAGGAGGTGGAGGGAATTATAATTCAAATTTATCTGATCGGCATCAAGGGCTTATATCTAAATTAGTTTGGACAGGTGATGTTTTATCTTGAAAGCTGATAAAAAAAAAATGCCAACCTTTGCATTTTGCCCAAGACCTGATTTATCTCTACAGATAAAGCTGTAAAGCAGGATGGAGACCAAGAGAACACAAACAACAGTGACTTATGGTGCTGTGATGTCCGATGACACAAAACAGGTGTGAAAAACAGCTATTACGGAAAAAACAAGCAAAGACTGGCCACTTGGGAAGGTGTGGACGAGGCAACCAGAGGCTGAATGCCCACTGGAAGGGCTGCCATTGCAATCATTCCAGAAAACAGGCAGCTCCTTATTTCATAGACTTTGGCTGGCTGCTGTATCCTTGGATTATACACCCCTGCATGTTTTGATAATTTGCAACTTAGACCAACAGAATTTAAAACATATCCAGAGTGTCTTGCTAGACATCAGGATCCCATGTTTCTCCATTTTGTCCCAACATTGAGCATTCACCAGAACTAATCAAGGATCAGAATTCATCAACAGCAAGTTCAGTCTGGATGTGCAAAAAATTAGTTGACTAGAAGTACCCAGAAGTCATAGGATCTACAAACTTTGAATCTGATATGCATAATCTGGTAGTTAGGCTTAACTAGACTAATTAAATCAATAGGTCAGCACTTACGTTTGATTCAGCAGGCTTTTCTGGTTGGGACTAACAATCCAATGCAGTTGTAATGACATCAGAGACTTAGCTCTATTTGCAGAAAAGCTCAGATGTAAGGAATTAAGAGCATTAATAATAAATATGATCATGTGCCATCAAATCAATTCAGACATGGCAACGCTTTTCAGGGTTTCCTAAGTAGAGAATGCTCAGAAGTGCTTTACCATTCCCTTCTTCTGGAGGTATCCTTGGATTGTGCAGCTTGCCCAAGTCTACATAGGCTGGCTCTACTCACAGGAGGCACAGCGGAGAATTTTAACTCCAAATTTCTGGCTTTTGAAGCCAAGTATCAAAGCCTCTATGCTTTGACTCTAGGGGGCGGTGCTCATCCCCGTTTCCAAGCCATAGAACCAGCGTTTTGTTTGAAGACAATCTTCCGTGGTCACATGGCCAGTGCGACTTAAGACACGGAACGTTGTTACCTTCCCACCAAAGTGGTCCCTATTAATCTACTCGCATTTGCATGCTTTCAAACTGCTAGGTTGGCAGGAGCTGGGACAAAGTGACGGGAACTCACTCCGTCGCGTGGATTCGATCTTACGACTGCTTGGTCTTCTGACCCTGCAGCACAGGCTTCTGCGGTTTAGCCCACAGCACCACCACGTCCCCAGGTTTTCTTTACCCTATTAAAAATTCCTTTTTGTGCAGTTACTTGGTTATTAACAGGGTTAATTTAAAAAAAGGTTGGGAACCACTGGTCTAAACCAACCCTTGGTGCTCGTAGTTTTTTCCCCATCATCCACCTGAGTTAGAAAAGTAGCTGCTCACCTTGGATGTTCGCAGGGCCTTGGCCTTTTATAAAAGAGCGAGACACTTCCAAAACTAATACAGTATTATTTCTGAGTTCTCAATGACCAAAGAAAGGTGAACATTCCACTGCACAGCGATTGTCTTAAAATAAGAAAGTTAGCATTATAGCCTTAATCAACCAAATAGCGAAAAACTGTATCTCATCCTTAAAAGGGCCTTTCAACTAGACCAACTTCTGCATCTACAGTGCTTCTCGGAGTTTAGCTGAGAGGCAGATGCAAACGATCAAACATTTTAGGCTGGATGCCGGGGGAAAGCTTGATGCAGGCTTTATAAGAACAGTAATTTCTGTTGGCACGAGCTTGCCAGTCACCCACATGTACGATGCACTGGGACCATGATGGACAGTTTGCTTGACCTCTTAACTGTAGTTCTTTGAGTGGTCATCAGTGAATTCACACAACCCACTTCATCTTCCTCTCATGCTATCATGCAAGTGCTTTTTCTGTATCAGGGAAGACTGGGGAACTGAGGATTAGCCGCAGGGTGGGGAGCATATGCAATGAAAAGGGCATGGACCAACATTGCTTTCTAAGTTGAGAAAGTTCTCAAGGCATTTGCAGAGGTGCAGATCATGCGGACTCAGATGACCCACTTACGGAACTAGTTACAGAAGCAACCCATTCTTAACTTCTGCCAATGCCATGAAATAGGCCTTTGAATTAGCTCTAGCCAGTGTTTCATCGGATTCACTCGGGAGTGCTGTCACTCCAGTCGCCATTCCTTGTTCTGATGCCACTGCCAGGTCTCTGGTACTAGGAAGTTCCAGGAATTGGAGACGGGGATGAGCACCACACCCTAAAGTCGGACACAACTGGACTAAATGTCAAGGGGAACCTTTACCTTTATCTAAACTACTGAGCTATCCAGCTAGCAAAGAGCATTAAAGTAGAAAATAAACATGTATTACAAGAGAAGAATGAAAGATAAGAAGAAAATGTGCTACCACCCCAATTAGACAAAGGTCGGTCACTGCTTGGGCTTCCCCTCCTTGGCAGACCACAATAGTATTCAAAGTAGGTGACCAACCTTCTAGCCCCTGCCTGCTGAAGAAATGGGATGTGTTAAAGCTTACAGATCAGAGTGGAGGAGTTGCTGTGTTTCTGTCCTCCATCATCCTCACACACTGCAGACTCCACCCACTCTGCTGCAAGTCTAGCTTCTGTGGTCACATGGCCAGTGTGACTTAGACACGGAACGCTGTTACCTTCCCACCAAAGTGATCCCTAGTTTTGATAATTGGGCAAGTTATCTTATGACCTTGGCATGTCTTCTTAGAGGAGGCTCATGACTAGCCTCTTCTGATGCATGCATCCGTTACACCTGTGAAGACCCAAGAGTGCTGTTAGAGCAGAAGCCAATTAGGCAGTCTCTTGTGGAATATCAAAGTCAGCTCCTTTTCTTTACTCTATTTGAGTGGTCATCAGTGAATTCACACAGCCCACTTCATCTTCCTCTCATGCTATCACGCAAGTGCTTTTTCTGTATCAGGGAAGACTGGGGAACTGAGGATTAGCCGCAGGGTGGGGAGCATATGCAATGAAAAGGGCATGGACCAACATTGCTTTCTAGGTTGACAAAGTTCTCAAGGCATTTGCAGAGGTGCAGAACATCATGCGGACTCAGATGACCCACTCACGGAACTAGTTACAGAAGCAACCCATTCTTAACTTCTGCCAATGCCATGAAATAGGCCTTTGAATTAGCTCTAGCCAGTGTTTCATCGGATTCACTCTGGAGTGCTACTGTCACTCCAGTCTCCATTCCTTGTTCTGCTGCCACTGCCAGGTCTCTGGTACTAGGAAGCTCATCTGGCTCTACTCCTTGGGGGGTGATTTTGTCCAGAGCATGTTATTTAGTCATTAAGTTGTGTCTGACTCTGTGACCCCAGGCCCTCCTGTCTTCTGTGGCCTCCCGGAGTTGGGTCAAATTCATGTTGGTTGCTTTGATGACCCTGTCCGACCATCTCATCCTCTCGGATTAAGCTGGAAGAGTTGAAAGTACTCTATCTGGTGTCTTACGTATTCAGAAGTTTCGTACTTTTGTGGGCCTGCTCCAAGTTTCTACCTTGCAGGGTTGGTTTGCAACTGGGAGCAACGACCTGCTTTGTTTTGATCTCCCTGAAACACCAAGTAGCGAGTGAATGGTTCAGAGGGTGCTGGGAGAAGGGCTCACAGGGACTAACCCACCTGAGAAAGCCCCACACCAGGTAGCAAGAAGGGTCATGAGGCTAAGTGGTGAGTGAACTTGTGGACACTCTGTATCCATCACAACCCTACACAAGTTCTGAGGCTACTGTACTAACCTGTGACAGCAATTCATTTGAAATTTTAGTGCCAAATGTTTTTAAATTGTTATAGAGCAAAAGCAAAATTACAAAACAAATTGTAACATTTGACACAGATTAACAAATTTTATTTATTTTTATTTATGTTATTTAGTATGCCTGGTTCTAGATGCTTGGAATTTGAAGTGCCTTCAGGCCTCTCACCCAGGAGCCCCCGAAGATACAGCAGAGCAAAGCCCTGAGAATAAGAGAGAGAATACCATTAATACTAGGCAAAATGTATCAAACATCCCTAATTACATTTTGTGGCCAAGAGAAGTTTAACTAGGCACTGCCTAACCAAATCTCTTCTCTCGTTTGCCTGGAATCTCCTGGTATTTCATTTCATTCTATGACCCCTCTATTATGGGATCAAGCAAAGGGTGGAACCAACCACTACCCATTTGACCCCTCCGGGTGACGGCTGGACTCAGAGGGACCACTCAGTCACAGAAATCAGACTGGGGCGGTAAAATGTCTCATCACTGGAGCCAGCTTGGGAAAGAGGACAGGTGGGTCTGCCTCAGCACAAAGCAACATGCAAGATCCTCCTCCCTGTAGAGGACAGACCCTCACCTCTGCTTAGGATGCAGCTTCTGAGTCAGTCCAGCTCCTGGCTGGCATCTGCAAGAAAGAGGAAGAGAGAAATAACACCCAGGGATCAGTAGATCAATACTTACTGAGAATTCCTCCTATTGGGAGAAAAGCAGCATAGAAGTCATTTAAACAAAGAAGGACCCACCCCTCATCTATCCAAGACCTATTGTGCAGTTTTTCAGTTGTTCAGCTATTTTCATGGCTTGATACAAGATCAAAGTGAGCTAGTTAGACTCATCATTAAAACCGCAACAAACTCCCTGCACAGAGGCTTCTCTCACTTCTGCACAAGACTTTCAAGGCCACCCCCTCTTATCAAGGACCCTCTCTTGCTGTGTACGTCTGGACAGCACCACAAAGAGGAGGGTTTTCGTAAGATTTATATCAGGGAAGCGGGTGGTACGAGTTCAACAAATAGTTTTGAACTACAAAATGGCAATGACCGATGGGTATGGTAGTCCACCATGTTTGTTTATTTATTAGATTTTTACCCCGCCCCTCTAGACTATGTCTACTTGATGACTCTATTGAGTGCCTATTGGAGAAAAGTCTTTGCCATTTCTCTTAGGTACCCGTGAGAGCTCAAGAGGAGGAATATTCAGAGGTCAACACTGCATCATGCAGAGCACTGTGATCTAATCAATCACTGGATCTTGACCTGCTAGAAATTATGTTTTGCATGAACAAACTATGCAATCTGCCACCCAGCTATCCCAGAATATTTGGGTACAACTTACCAGGTAGTCCCATCTCCCATGGACACACTGCAGTCCAGATTCACCACCCTGTAGAACAGAATAGATTAAAAAAAATCAAAACTGAGTTTTTACCTGGTACTGCCTTTATACTGGGATGTCTAAAAGCCCAAGTTGCCAAAGCCAAGAACCTGAGAGCCACAGTCCAAGCAACTCAACATCTGGGTCCCAAAGATGTTGAGACAACTTAGGTCTGGCTCCCAACTGACGCTCAGATTCCGTTTCTCAACAGCAACATTCAGCCGAACGAGATTCCTAAAGTAAGCTCATCATGTCAGTGGGAACCAGGAAAGATCTGGAGAGCTTTAGAATAGGATTGGGAACTGGGCCTTCCATATTCTGCCCCCCCCCCAAAAAAAACTTAGTCTTATAGTCTATGGGAGCCTAAGTATACAACTAGAGGTTTCTCACCCGGTTTTAACACATGCAAGGTATGTTTTGGGACATTCAACTCACTTTTCTTCAGTGTAGACAGAAACAAGAGGAGCCCAGCAGAGGGGATGGGTTTCAAAGGGAGTCCTGCATTTTCCAGAAAGGCACCTTCCAAATAGTTTCAGGAACTGTTAAAAGAGTTAAGATGATTGGTACACTCAGAAATGTGACAAACCCAGACCTACTGGGATATGTCACACAGTTACACTAAGCTGCCACCAACCATTCCCTATAAGAAGTCACACAGACCAGGGATGGATTTTTAAACAATAAAAAGAATAAGGTTTATTTAATTACACACAGGGAAAAATAAACAATCAGGTGAATAGGATAAAGTAACGTGGCTTATTCTTACTCATACAAGCATACAGTTTGGTTCACCCAGAACCCTTAACTTGAAGCACAGACCCTGAACCTATCAGTTCTGGCTAACCAACAGACACCTGAACCTATCAGGTTGGTACTCTGACACACAGTAGTACCCTGTCTGACACACAGACTCCCACAACAGCTTCTTCTTCCCAGCTGCTGCTTCGTCACACCTGTTTTAGCATACACGAGGTATGTTTTCAGACACGCAACTCACTTTTTTCTACTGCAGACAGAAACAAGAGGAGCCCAGCAGAGGGGATGGTTTTCAGAGGGAGTCCTGCATTCTCTCCAGAAAGGCGCCTTCCAAATACTTTCAGGAACTGTTAAAAGAGTTAAAATGATTGGTACGACTCAGAATCGGAACAGGAAACAGGACAGCCGTAGTAGTCCTATCTGGACATGCCTGACAATGCTGTGCTACTCAGCTTCAACCCTCCCTAATTTGTATGTTTTATTTATCAGACCGAGGTCCCGTCAGACAGCTCCGTCCGGAGCACAGCGTCCTCTTCTCCCTCTGCCGGCCCCAGTGGGTTCAACCTTTGCAGGTTCTGGCGCCGAGACAGAAGGTAAGACGTGATAGGATTTCTTCATTGGGACCTCAGTACAGTAGTGGATTAAGCTAATTCCCCAGGTGAGGTGGGACTGCCGCATACATTAGTCCCAACATTTTGGCTAATGAAAGGGAAGTGGTACCTATCATCATCCCGTGTTACTTCTACATCTCAGCTCTCTTATTGAGAGGAACAAACCCAACTCCTCACCTTATGAGTGCCGCATCATTTAAACAGATTGGTCTTTGCTTGCTCTCCAAAGCAAAGTTGGTGCCTAAAACAAAGAAGAAAACTGAAGTCAAAAGATGGCAGATCTGTACCCCCCACAATAAAAGTCCTGCTGCCTTCCGTAGCTCAGAGGGGACCACTCCATCACAAGAGATCGGACTGGGGCGGTCAAGGCCTCATCACTGCAGGGAAGCAGCATGATGGGGCAGGTCTGGAATGCATGCTCATGCTTTTCAAATAGCCAGAAGAACAGATCCTCATGTAAATTCACAATTCTATTAATGCACTTTAAAATCTTATTGGCACAGAAAAAGTATTTTTTTAAAAGCACCTTTGTTGGGAAGTGCATAACCATTCCGAAGTAAAAAAAGTTACCTCTGACACTCTCCATTGTTGACTCGGAGTCTTCTCACCTGGGCAGAACATTAAAAGTCTGATAAGTGCAAAGCACCCTGAGGAAGGGAAATTAATCTGTAGAGGAACCATAGTTTGATCAGGGCTTTGGTAACACATGCCATGAGACTAATGTCGTCCATCAACGTGTGTCATCATTTCAAACCAGATTGCTTATTCTGATTGTCTGTGATCTATTTCTAAGTAAGTCCATCCTTCCCAGATCTTGCCACAGCTCAGCTCTCCCCCCTTCCCGGCACGCGCAAACCCTCAAACCCACCTCAGAGGATCTCCGCAAAGAACCAATCTCAGCTCAGGAACATGGAACCTGAAATCCAGAAAGCCACATTAAAGGATGGCATGTTGTTCACCCTATACAGGCTTTCTCCTCCAAAATGGGGGGGGGGCGCTCCTGTTCTCAGACAAAAAGCTGACATCACCAGACATCAGATATATGCTTGTCAATTTATATACATCATTGAACACAGGCAGGAACAGCAAAATAGAGGAGATTCAACAGGACCATGAGAAGTTACAATTCCAAAATTTCAAGAGACTGGCTACTCACGGGCAACACTGAGACATGCCGATGACTTGTGATCCGCTAAATGGGGTAGAAGAAAACATATACAGAATTTTTTAAATCTTCAGACATTAAGAAAGCTGTGTAGTTACCTAGATCAGGAAGAATTCTATATACTACCTGGCCCCATAGCTGGGCACAACAAAACAATCTTATTTCCTTAATTTTTCTTTATTTTCTTATTTCAAGGGGCAGTGCCACTCAGAATCTGGTAAAGGTTTTCTCCACTGATGCCTCAGAAAGAGAGAGTTCGTCAATCTCATCTCCGTAGCACTTTCAAGCTCTTACAGGTAGGTGCTCAGAAGCAGAAACCCCCCCCCCATTTTAGCTGATTAGTAATATGTATTCTTTTAACTCCTACCAAGTCTAGAAATAAATTTGTGGATTCTCAGTTTCACACATTTAAATCAAACAGCCCTGAATACCCAGGTGGGTATCAAAGTAGGTGCCCTGAAGAATGTGTAGCACCAAATAGCAACAATTATGCCTCTAGGAGGATTGCAAGAAGAGACAAATATTCTCTTATTTTCAGTAGCTACACTTAAGAAAGCTTTATTGGTACACCTGTGCAAATTAAATAAACGATCACATTACACACTAACTCTTCAGCAAAGATGAATTTCCCTGTTTAAACAAGCATTCCGAGTTAGTATATTGCTTGCTACACTGGAGTGATAAATTTGCCCATAAATTATTCAGAAAATGTGTTCCATCATTGGAAAAAGAATAGTAACAGCTCAAGTTAGTATTTCCACCTCACCTGAAGAGCAGATGACTACAATCTTCTGGCTGCAGATCTGGAGAAACAGAAAGACCGTTAGAAGCAATACCAGTAGTGGCTAAATAACTTTAGAAAGAGCAAACAACAACCCAAGACTGGATTTTTCTCAGAAACTAAAGGAAATCTTCACAGATTTTTTTCAGAACAGGTCTGTGTAGAGTTTCATCACAGAAAGACCACACTGAAAATCATACCCACAAGAGTATGCATGCAAGGCAGCACAAGCCAAAAGCTATAAGCAGCATCCTGCAAACGGATGCACTACAGACATGCTGGAAGAATACAGCCCCTTTGGGTAGCTGCCGGCAGGGGATGCAGGGAACTGTAGTCCAGTCTTAAAGGGCTCAATTTAGCAATGTTTCACAGATCTACATCTAGCTACTATGTTATTAGACAGTATCTTGTTTTTTTTTCTCTTTTCAGGATGGATAAAAATCATAATTATTTAACTTACAACTTAAATATAAATATTATTTAAATCATCAAACATTTGATTTTTTAAAATTAAATTATGATTTAAATCAAATCCAACCTGTTTTTTAATTAAAAGGTCAGGGGGGTACTTCGAAACCAGTGATGGCAAACCCATGGCAGTCATACCCACAGCTGGCACGCAGAACTTTCTCTATGGGCACACGAGTCATAAGTGGCCGGATCGGTACCCCCCCCCCGGGGCGGAACCTGAGGAAGGGGCTGCAGCCGCAATGCTACCATCTTATCTCCCCTTGGAGAAAGGCAGGCAAGAAATAATTCACATACAATATTATAGGTACCCAATTTCTTTTCAACACGCTTTTTAAAGTTTTGCCTTTGCATTAGCAGGACTCTCAAATTTCGGTAAAATAAGTTAGTTCTGCCTGTCCCATCTATTTTGAGAAGAATGACGGACAGCCAAGCCAGCAAATTTCCTTACTTCCCGCTGAGATTAACACAGTAGGCGTGCTTACTCAGGATCAAGTCGTAGGGAGTCCCGCCGGCTCCCCTTCCCAGCAGTGGGTGATCCTCCCATCATGCAAGGCGCCCTTATCTTATTTCCTGTATGCAAAGGTTTGGCCAACTCCCGTCTAGAAACCACCTGCTTTTTTCCACCCAAGAGCCTCCCAGGGAAAGTTAATACACGTAGGAAAGGGAGAAGACCCATGAAAAGAAACACGTGTAGCCGTGCTTTTGAAGCCAAAAGGCCTGCACGCGAAGGATGGCGCCCGATTACAACTCACCTCCCCGTCTGCAAGGACGCCTCTGCGCGAAAAGAAACAACACCCCTCCGCCAAAGGGTTAAATACTTCCTGGGCGCGGTGCATCATGGGAACATCCCCTCCTTCCCTCCAATACGGTTGAGCTATCAACGCATGCGCTCTCCTTTACCATGACGCCACAGCAGAACTACAGAGCTAGAACTGAAGAGTCACGCAGGGGTGCTTCACTTCGATTATACTATGAAACTCCCTACGGGGAATAACATACTGGTTCATAGTTTCGTCTCTTCCCACAAGAAAGGAAGACTCGCTCTACCGCTTGCAAGTTGTCGGGGACAGAAAGGTTTCAAGTGGGCCTTAACAACGGAGTAAGCTGTTGTGACGCATTTCCGTTACCACCGGACGTTGCAGCCCGCATGGCCCGCCCATTTTCCCCCAACGGTTCCTCGCCGCGCGGGAAGAACAAAAAAGAGGGCGCGCGCAGCGAGAGGCTTTGCGCACGCGCTGTAGGAGAGGGCTCCGAGAGTGTGTAACGGCCGTATTTGAAAATAGGACCGTGCGCATGCGCAGTGATAGTGAGTTCTCGCTTGAGGAGACCGTTTTCGCGTCGTTTTCCACCCGCCTCCCTCAGCTTCTTCCTATGGAATGGCGGTTTTTTTCTGCCTACACGCCCTTTCTAGATAAGTCGCCCCATTGTTACTGTTTTTGAAACCTTGTTATTTATTACATTTATACAGTATTCGGCTTTTTTCTACGAGGAGCTCGAAGCAGCACACCTAGCTTTTCCTTTCTCGCATTTTCTCCCCTCACAACGACTCTGCCCACTGACTATTGACTTCTCTGAGGGAGCATAATGAATGGCCCAGAATTACCGAGTTTTTGGAGGGATTTATTTATTTAATTTCCCCAAAACACAACATAAGCAATACTCTTGACACAACAGCACAAAGAGGCTGTTCCTCTTCCACCAAGAGGAATTGTGGTTTGAACCCCAGGTTTCACAAGTTGGACTCTACTACCCACTACTACATTGCATCTATGTGAAATAGTGAAAAATTGCCCATGCTTCTGGGCATGTGTAGAGTGCCCTATATCCCTAAAGAGCATCACTCCTCCCCCATTATGCTCTTTTTCGACCAGCACCTATTCCATTAGGATGGGTTGGAAACTGCTAATGGGCCAATGTCCATTAGCCCCAATGAGCAAACCCCACTAATCCCTCTTCCCTGTCCTGCTAGCTATTTATTTGTTTATTTTTGTAAAGCTGCCATTTTATTATGTATTTAAAACATTAGCCCACCCTACGAATCTCAAGGCAGGCTAAAGAACTGTAAAACAATTTAAACACAACCATTTTTAATTTCAATTCATTAGAAACATAAACAAAACATTAAGGCATTAAAAACATTACACATTAAAAACATGGCACAAACCAAGCTCCTCAGTCCTTCCAGCGCAGCCTGGCTTTTTGATCTCTGGGACCAAAAGGCCACTTGGAGGCTGCCTCTCAGGAAGAACAAAACAGGAGAGACCAGCCTGGCCCCAATCCGTCAGCCAGCCAGAGAAGCCACTGCTGCAGAGTTTGCTTCCCTTTTTTCCTTGTTGGAAAGATGCTCAGCTCCATTTACTGGATGATGCAGGGGAAAAACACACCCTGCCCTCCTCAGACAAAACCGGTCATAGGTACGTTATAAATGACAAGAAAAACAGAAGTCTTGCAGCATCTTTTACACAATTGTTTCAGTGCGAGCTCCTGTGAATTGCAAACCATTTCCTCAGATGATACAAAGTGGATTGTAATCCATTAAATCTCACACTGAAATCTACTACAGTAGTTAATTTTTCAGGTGCCAAGGTATTTATGTATGTTTTTTTTAAAACTGGAACAGACTAATATGGCCCCCCTCATTGAAAAATGGCTAAAAAATGGGGGATGACAACCCCCACCCAGTGTGGAGATTTTTCCAAGTGCTCTTATCGTTGCAGTCTTTTGGGATTTGACTTGAGGGACAGTCCACAGAAAGATACGATTGCATCTTCTGAAGAAAACCAAGCAGGTGAAGCTTTTCTTGGCATCAAGTTGGCAGAATGCATTTCACCTGCTGCTTGTCGGTCTGGTAAAGAGATCTGGTCACCAACCTCAGGAATCAACACACAGTAAAGGTAAAAACATGGGACATTATTCTTCCTCTCCCTTTAACCGACTCTCTTTCTTGTCCTTCCCCACATTGTATACATTCTACCTGCCTCCTTCTGTGCCCTCTTACCCATGTACCATCTGTTTTTTCCCAGTCCTACCAGGTGAAGATGCCTGTTTCCCCCCTCTTTCTGCTCTGTTACCTGCCCTGCCCCATTTTCTGTTCTCCTACACTAATTTAGCTGCTTTTCTATCCCGTCAGAACTTCTGCCCTATCAGGAGAAACCTAGATCCAGGGTCTCCCTCTGTATTCTGCATCCAGATTTGATAAGCAGCTGCTGCTAAAGAGAATGGAAGTAGCCATGTATAGGGAAAACTGTGCAGGTACTGTAAAGAAAAAATTCAGTAAAGCAGTGCTAAGAAACCAGTTGAATCAGATTTGAAGAGGTGTATCTGATGAGGAGAACATGGTGCCCATGGGCCTTATCTGAAGAAGAGGGCGGTGTTGGAAGCTTGTCCAGCCTGTGTCAAATATGTAAGTAATATATTAATTACTATATTATACTGTATTTTATTTTGTTGCATTGAAAATGGTTTTTGAACTTAGTTTTTCTGAACTTGGAAATGTTGCATTGAAAATGGCTTTTCTGAACATAGTGATGGGAAAACTAAGTTTAGGTTGTAGTTTAAAAACTGGATACATTAACAAGATTTGATAAAATGTTGTATTTTCTTTATACAATTCTCGAAAAAATTTCTGAATGAATAATATATAGTTTTGTTTCCTGTTTTTTTCCCCCCAATCTTACTTTTTAGAAGTTTGAAACTTAGAATATTCACAAAGTTTAATTAAAGTGGGCATTAAAGGCTAGTGTTGAACAAATGTGTAAAATATCATTGCTTTGCAAACTTAAGAATGGTATTATATAAATATTTGCACAGAAGTAAGATTTGCTGAGTTAAGTGGAAATTTACTACATGGTAATTTTAATTGTAGTTAAAAACTTTAAAGAAATGCGTTTATTCAAAAGCTGCTAGCCTTAATCAAAGCTCACTCACCACAAAATGACAAAATATTATTTAATGTTAATTTAATTTAATGTAATTTATAAGTTATACTTTCAAGTTTGCCAAAACAATCTCAAAATAGCTTACAAAATAAAATATGAAAAGAAAAAAACCAGAAAGATGTGCAAGTGAAGGCACTTTTTAAAAGGCCAACTGAAATGTAACAAAAATAATCTTAAAACAAAAAAAATATAAATATGGAATGAGAATGACAGGCAAGTAACAAAACAGGTACAACTCTGTTCTTTCCACTCTCCCAAGGGTCCTGGGAAACAAATGTTTTATGCAATTGAAAGGGTAGGTTAAACATTCCTGTTGTTTTCCCAGTCATAACCCATATTTAGCTGAAGCCTGGTTTCTCCTTTAAGGTTGGTAGGACAGGGATAATTGCTTTGAATTGAAAAGAGCACCCTTTGCCAGTGGAACCTTGGGTTCTTTTGGGGAGGAAGCGAGTATAGAAACATTTTAAACAAACAAACAAATCCAGGCTGAAATATTGGTCTCTTTTTCCAAAGTGGGTTTTAAAACTCACATTATTATTTTGGCTTCTTCAAGGTTAAGAGGACCCTCACAGACCTCCTAGCCATCTTTGAGTTAAATCTGTGATAATCTTTTTGCTACCTCCAAGTTAAAAATTTTTCTATCCCATTAGTTACCGTAACTATCCTGATAATAGGTTAATTATGTAATATACATATATTATAACCTGCTAATAATGCAATGACCACTCTGACCTGTGCCATCAGTCTGAAAATTAATTACCTTTGCCCATATGTTGCTGCTGTTTATGTGCTGTCAAATTGGAATTAATTTATAGCAATCATAATAGGACGTTCAAGATGTGAAATATTTGAGTGATTTTAACATGCCCACATGTTGCTGCTGTTTATGTGCTGTCAAACTGGAACTAATTTGTAGCGATCATAATAGGGTTTTCAAGATGTGAAATATTTGAGTGATTTTACCAGTTCCATAGTCTCCCATCCTTGAGTTTCCATGGCTGAGCAGGAATTCAGACCCAAGTGTATTGAATCCTAGTCCATTACTAGTCTAAATAGAATACCCAGCTTGCTGGGGGGCGGCGGCAATGTGTAGCTTGCATAATTAAATTGCAAACTGTCCTGAGAGTGCTTTTCATTACTAGCCTAAATAGAATACCCAGCTTGCTGGGTGGCGGTGGCAATGTATAGCTTGCATAAGGAAGGCTGTACGTACCTCCTCCAGTCACTTCACATGCCAACCTGGTACTGCAGTTTTTCCAGGAATTTTGCTTTGCTTTAAAGAGGTTGGAGAATTCAAACATTTTTATATTAATTTGATAGCAAAAGGACTTTACCCACACAGTGGAAAGGGGAATGGTCTGAGTATAGCCTGCAGAGTTAAGAGTTTGTGCGGGCTCTCATGTACCTGAGTGCTTTGGAGTCACTGGTATTGCTCCTCAGCCTGTCGGCCAAGATCAAATATAGTACCTTATCAGGTTAAAATAAAGCATGTGTTTTCTTAAACTGCATTAAATTGCATGTTGGAGCTGGGTTATGTGCTGACTCTACCCATTTCATGGATAAAACTGCCGTTAGTGTTTCTAGGAAGGCTGTATGTACCTCCTCCAGTCACTTCACATACCAACCTGGTACTGCAGTTTTTCCAGGAATTGTACACCTCCCACTACCCACCAGTCTGGTATTGCAGTTTTTCCTGGAATAGAGCACTTCAATTCATTTCATGTATCAACCTAGTATTGCAGTGTTTCCAAGAATAGTTCACCTCCTGTTAGAAAGAATATTTCTAATTCAGAAACTGTTGTTTCTTCAGTTGCCCACTTTATCACACTGATGTCTCCCAAAGTTGCTATTTCTTATGAAATTTAAGCTTTTGCTTAAATAATTTGTGAATTTTTTTATTTGAAAGAATCTCAAATAAGGACTCACCTGTTTTACCTTTCATTTACAAAGCGGTTTCTCCCCCAACTGTATATTGAATGAAGGACTACTAATCCTCTTTTTTTTCAGGTTGGTTTCCCAGATGTTGTATTGTGGATGGTGTGTGAATCTGCACATTAAAAAAAAATTATACATTTCTTGTTCTGTGGGTTGCTGGTCCATATCCCCAGCTTACTTTGCTTCCCATATAGGGGAATATACGGGGGAGGGAACAAACTCAAAACCAGTCGGTAGGCTGCTAGTACCTGGTCCTTCTGCCATAAAGCTCTCCAGCTGTTGCTTGATGATGAACCTTCTCATACAGAACTGGGAAAGGGGTTCTTTTAAAGAAGTTCCCTCTTGTTATCAGCTGCCAGTATTGACAGGCTTAACAGGACAGGTTCCATTTGCCTATCCATAGCAGGAAGGCAGCTTCGGCTTAGAACCTGAAGTCTAAGCCTCAGGTATGATGATGGGATTCAATTTAGATGAAAAGAGACAAACCCAGACACCACTGGTCCACGGATAAGAAATTAAAACTCTGGGAAGGCAGCTTGGGATTCTGGCTGCAAGCTATTATGCTATGGCATCTTTCAGGATCATCTTGGCTATCTCTCCCTTGCCTGACTTTCACAAAGAAAGCTCTGGTTACAAATAGAGGAACCAGAACTACTCATGATGGCTTAAAAAAAAGGGGGGGGGGAATAAGAGGTCAGGGAAAAGCTATAATTATGAGCTTTTTCTATATTAACCCTTGGTGCGTCATTCATCAAGATATTTCCATTTCAGTATTCTGTTACTTCCCATTAGAATTGTCAGGAAAATGTATCTATTTTTACAGATCATTAGCCACAGTAGGGTGTAACCTTGCACAAAAGTGTGCCCCACTCAATTAAGTGGGACTTGCCACACATATGAAATTTACCCTTCAAAGCTAGTCTACCCATAAGTGTGAGAAGAATGCTGTTTTTCTGAAATCCCTTCTTAATCTGTATGGCATGTGCAAAGTCTTGGAAAGACCTTTAGTTTTCCACAACACGAGTGTATTCTGGAGTTAAACAGCTTATGGGGCAGCATACCTGAGGTGGGGAGCTTGTGACTGAATGCGGGCTGGGAGCCAGGATGTGATGCTATAATCAGCAACAGTTAAATATGAACTGGAAGAAGACAGGATGTGATGTAATCATCAAGGCTTCACTATTATTTCCAGCAGGTATTCTCTTTCCCATAATAACCTGCATGGCAGTCTTCCCCAAACCTATATTTCCCAGATGTCGATATATGACATTGTCATTTCCCAGACATCTACAAGTTGCCAGTTAGAGAAGACTCTCCTACAGAATGTTGTCAACCTATCAATTTAATTTATATGAGATGGTGGAGAAAATTAGGCAAATTCATAGAGGAAAAAGGTACCAGTGGGTAAGAGTCTTACTTGGTTCCTGACTTGCAAAGAGGCAGCATCTCTCTGCATTGCTTAGCAGGTGCAGGGGATGAAACATTATGCAAGAGCCACCAGCATTATCCCTTGCTTGAAACTTGGCGAAACAGCCTTTGTTTTTGTTAAGTGATGGGAAGTAACCCATGGTGAGTACCTCTGTGTTGGTGTGGGTGCAAAGATGCATGCATAATACTGGCAATTTAAAAGGGTTGAGAATGGAGGGAAAAATCTGTGCCTTTCCCAAGCCCCATGGAATAACCTTGATATAGACCAGTGAGAGAGAAAGTACAGAAATAAATAGCAAGTTAAATAAATCCATGCAAGATTTTGTTATCCAATACTTGTATTCGCCTTGATAATGAGAAAAAATATATACATGTATAAATCTGTAACTGTCTACAAAAGCTCATAGTTCAATGGCTCTTTCTTCCCTGCTCACCCTTGTACAGTCCGTGGAGTTCAGGCTCTGGTAACCAAATATTGTTCCACCATTCGGGGCAAAAAACCTTGTAGGAAGTGGAAGAATTCTTGGAAAGCAGCAGCCTGTTCTGGGACTGGAGTGAAGCTCAGGCGGACGCATGTGCCTTGTTTGCCAGAAGCTGCCTCTGTCACTCGGGCGCAAACGGTGAATTGCAGCAAAGGCTCTGTAGGTGTCGTTTCCCCTTCTTGTTTGGAAATGAGCTCAGATACTTTTGCCTCCAATTCCAAAGAGCCAGCCTTCTCTGTCAAGTCCAGGTCTGTCCCGCGGAGCTGTCGCCGGACACGGCGGCGCCCCAGCCACACACGGTGCAGGGTGCTGCAGTCCCAGGTCATACTTTCCCCAGTGGGGAGGAAAGTATCAATTCGTGACTTCTTAGCAGAAGGAGAGAGAACGCCTTCTCCTTCATCATTCTCCAGGGGGCGTTTTGACCCTGCTGACAACAGCTTCATTTTCGCTTCTATCTGCTCTTCTTGCTGCTGAGATCCAGTAGCCGCCTGTTCCGCCTCAAATCCTTGTGCTGTTTCCAAGCAGCTACATCGGAGCACATCCCTTAAAGTAAAGGCTATGCCAGTACAGATCTTCTGAAACCAGAGCTGGCGCATATCCCCAGCCTGATTCAGCAGCTCGCAGGACTGTGGAGGTACCGCTGCAAGCGTCAAAGGGAGGTTTACAATGAATCCATCAGTAGCCAGGGCCTCCGGGTTGCCTGGCTGAAATAGGCGGACGAGTCCCCAGATTTTGCCCTTGGTGGACTTGCGTTGATACTGCAAGCTCCGGCAATACTTGGCAGCATCACGGCAGCAGCGTTGGAATCGAAGTGCCGTTTTCTCGTTGACATTAGCGCTGACATTGTGGCTCAGCTCAAAGGGGTCCTGAAGATTGAATGGCCCCAGTTTGAGTTTGTTGTCTGCTTCAGATGACAGAAAGCTGTATAGAGGCAGCTGCTGGCCCTCCCGGAGTGAGATCACACAGCCTGCAAAGTTATAGTCTTCAAAGACGTGGAAAAACTCTGCCAGGAGGGAACCTGGAATGACAGATTGACAGAGAAACAGTCAAGAGTCCATAAGAGATCATGCAAACACAGGAGTGTATGTGACACTGTGTGTCAAGTACTGTACAATAACCAGCTTCTTCCGCACTTCTATTGTGTCCACAAAATTATTTTTTCAGTGCCCAAACATAAGAGTTTGCATATAAGAAAGGTTAGGTATGCAAGCTCTACTTATGAACAACTGTTCTTTCTAACCCCTTCACAAAAAAGTAGCAGAAAAATGGAGCAGGGAGGAAGTTTTCAGGATTTTGAGTTCTGCACATGTGGCTGCAGAAACACAAGAAAAAGAAAAAAATCACAGCCCTATCAAGCCGCTGCCAAGCTTTCAGGAAGAGAGGTTTGAGACAATGTTCAGCTTCCTGAGTGTGGAACATCTGGATCATGTGCACTTATGTTTCAGCAAGTTATTCCTCAGAAGAGGAAGGAGCTCAAATAAAACTAAGCTGGTTTGTCTTGAAGCCCTCAAGTTTACATTAAAATTAAGCTGGTTTGCCAGGGAATGTCTTGAAGCCCTCAAGTTTACATTAAAAGGACCTCTAGTTTCGTCAAAGTTGTAGCCTTCTGACAACAACTCACACAGGTTCTCCTTGTTCGCACTGGGGTTCAGTTGGGCTGAATCCTTGGGAAAACTGCAGTCCCAGCCGTCCACTGTAGTCTGCTCCTCCTCATCTGGGCAAGGAAGAAGGAAGGAAGAAGATGAGAGAAGGGCGAGAACCAGGGGCAGGAGCAGATATTTAATTTAATATTAGTAGCCGATATTTCCTATTAATACATATAGTTGCCCTTGAGAACTGTGGCTAATGGGGGAGTATATCTATGTACCAATTCTAAAAGGATGCGGAAGATGAATAATTATGCACAGCACATCAATACAAATGTGTAAGAATTACAAAACTGTCATCTGGTGGTTAAAATTTTAGACTGGGACTTTGAAGAAGCAGGCTCTAGTCCCTGTGGATACACAAAACTCACTGGGTGATCTTGGACTATTCCGTCTTTCTCAGCCTTCCCTGCTTCACAGGGTTGGTTGTGAGAAGAAAGTAGAAAAGAGAGTCATTTATGCCAGTTTGGAAGAAAGAGAAAGGAATATGTATCCATGACAAAGAACTAATAAAATAAAATGTATACATATATATTCAAGGTAACTTGGCATATTCCAGATGTGTTAGGAGTACATTCCGTATCAGCTGCAGTACTTGCCAAGGTGAGAGATGAATCCCAGGGACCCATATGGGAGAAAGCTGAACTAAACCCACACTGAGAGTACTTACTTGACAGTTCCTTCAGCTGACTGACAGTAGGCAGGACTGGCGGGCTACGTGTCTGAAGGAAGAAAAGCACCAGCAAAGTCAGGGCCTATACATATACAGTATATTCAAGGTAACTTGGCATATTCCAGATGTGTTAGGAGTATATTCCGTATCAGCTGCAGTACTTGCCGAGGTGAGAGATGAATCCCAAGGACCCATATGGGAGAAAGCTGAACTAATCCCACACTGTGAGAGTACTTACTTGACAGTTCCTTCAGCTGACTGACAGTAGGCAGGACTGGCGGGCTACGTGTCTGAAGGAAGAAAAGCACCAGCAAAGTCAGGGCATAGTTGTTGAGCAAGGGCCCTCCACCAAAAGGGTTCCCTAGGGAGAAGGAATGGAAAATTTTACGGACAAAAACACCTCACATCCTCCCCACCACCACCCAAGTCCAAGACTCTACACAGTTCCAAGAAATGAAGTTCTTCTCAGATATTTATACTGTATTTTGCACTCCTCCAAGCTCAGAGTAATGTACAGAAGGCCATCTCATTTAATCTTGGCAATCTTAGCCTTGCAAGGCTGGCCATAACTGAGCAGCAGATCACAAGGTTTATACGTTGACGATATCCACATTAATGTGACAACCATGTGTTCTTCAGGATTTTTAAATAAAGCCCCCCCCCAAAAAAAAGTTAGTGAGGAATGATCCCACTCAACTGAGCAGCAGATCACAAGGTTTATATGTTGAAGATATCCACATTAATGTGACAACCACAGTCAGGGAGAATGAGATTAAGGCATGTCCAGTCCTCCAGGTGACATTGGGTTACAGGTCCCATCAGCCCTAGCCACCAATTAGCCTCCAGAGGGAGTCTCTAAGTCACAAGATGCTTGGGTGGGGAAAAAAAGGTTGGAGAATGGCTGCTGGTCAGAACAGACAAAAGGCTAGCCAAACCAGTGAGCTTGGCAGCCTGGGGCTATACAGTTTGATGTGCAATCTGAGATGAACTGATGTGACATCAAACACATATATGCCATACAGAGTCACTCCTTGGCATCATTTGTAGAGATCCACTAAATGTATTACTTATCCCAGAAATGTGTTCTTCAGCATTTTTAAATAAAGCCCAAAAAAAAAAAGTTAGTGAGGAATGATCCCACTCTCCTGAACCTCTGCTAAAGCTGTAATGTATGGATGTACAATCTAGCCACTTGTTCCAAACAGAGAAATCAGCTCTGTGCCAAGGGACCTGCTTTGCAAGCAAGAGGCACCGGGCTCAATCCCTGGCATCTTCAGTTTAGAAAACGGCCAGACAAAAGGAAAGATCATTCTTGGCAGAGACCCTGGAAACCCACAACCAGTCAGAGAGGGCAATACTAGACCCCATGAACCAAGAGGCAGACATGGTCGAAGACAGCTTCTTTTACTCCAGCCTACTACTGCACTATGGGCTCCACTCATGAGTCTTCCACTCACTCAGTGGAACTGATGTGTGACATTAATGATGGTGCACGTAAACAATGTCATTTTCATGATCTCTGTCTCACACTCCAAACTGTACTGTACTGAGCCTAGATCGTGGCTCTCTTGTTTTACCTGCCAGCGCCTGCTGTTTTGCCCAGTAGCGGACCACATAGACTAAGGGCCGCACCCGCTCATCTGCTTCGGTGCAAAGTTGTAGGAAGCGTGTGTTGCAGAGTGCCAGCCTGCCAAGGAGACAAGCCAGAGGGGCAAGTAAGATCACTTAATATGAAGCTACATCTATCTCCTGACACACTTAGGCACACACAGACATACTCCCTGTTGATATATTTTGAAACATCTCTCTGGCAATATTTTTCTCATTACAATAATTTATTTATTTAAAATATTTCTATCCTGCCTTTCGCCCCCAAAGGACCCAAAGCAGCTCAATAATGATACTGTATGTATAAAGTATCAGAGAGAGAAAATGATCTTGCCGCCAAAGGACCCAAAGCGGCTCAGTAATAATACTGTACATATAAAGTATCAGAGAGAGAAAATGATCTTTCCTCTCACCTCAGCACTATCCAGATGTGTTCAACTACACCCCCATTGTGTCTCACTGATGAGAACAACAGGGAGTTTTAGCCCAATTTGTCTGAAGAGGAAACTACTGATTTAAATGATAGAATGCACGTTTTACAGATCATTTCAGCACTGTGAATGATTTCAGCTACATTATCACTGCAGCAACCATAGTTATCTCAAATAAAACATTTACAAAAGAATAGTAGCAATGAATTAGGGGTATGAAAAAACGGATTGCAATATTTTTCACCATATAGTGAGGCGTGTCCATTTCTGGAGAGAGAGAATAGTTCACCTTTTATATGGACAAGGCCTTTATATTAAGCCTCCTGTAATACATCACTGGGTGCAATCCAGTTAAGCAAGCTGGGATTCTCCAGCTTTGTTGGAATATAACGGCCAATATCTCCTTCTTTTGGTTATGCTGGCTGTGGCTGATGGGCACTGTAATCCCACAACACCTGAGGGGCCAGAATTTGCCCATCCGACACTCAAGCAGTTAACACAGAGAGAAAAGGCCATACCTGTTGTTTATGGAGATGTCACCACGGAGGCCAGATTCCTTATGGCAAAACTTGACAACTGGACGACGGGCATTCAACACAGCTTGGACATTGTGGACTCCTGGGACACACTTTTGCAGCACAGTGGCAATCAACTCGAGCACCTCCGGCACCGTGGCTGAAGCCAAATCAATATCACTTAGGATTGAATCCTCCGAACGCGTGTCCACTTCAGGACTAGCTCCTTCCTTATCAGGGAACAGAAAGTATACATATATTTGGAAGAAAGAAGCTGCCTTAGATGATGTCAGGACCTTTGAACTGAATTAACTCTGGTTGGGACTGACAAGTTCCTTCCCAGCCCTACTGGAGAGGCTTGAGATTGAACCTTCAACTTCTGGCCTGCAGGTCAGGTGCTCTGGCACTAATAGGGATGAGAATCATGTGGTTTGCAGTCTGCACACACTCCCCAAAAGGTGCTTTTGGAAGCCTCAAAGCCTTCTGAATTAAAAATCCCCCCAACAGAAGAATCGTGCCTCCAGAGGGTGTGATTCTCCCCAAAAGCCATGTGTGGTCTCCACACAGTTTTACCACAAAATGTGAATTTTTTTAAAAAAATGTTGCTTAAAAATAAAAAAGAAGAATCTTCAAATCTCTCCTAGCTGCATATGTGGAGGTGATGATGAGGGCTCCTGGAACCTTCTAGGCCTGGGGAAATGGCCCCAAAGCCTGGTGCTTGCCCACCCTTGCACTAAGGGATTATCCCAGCCTTTGAAACTCTATTTTTTTATCCCTACTTGGATAATGGGTTCTTCTCTCCTAAATTTACTGCCTGATTTGCACTGGAGATGACAAGCATTGAACCTTTTTCATGCAAAGCTTTTTAACCAATCAAATAAGAAGGCCAAGCCTTTCCCAGCCTTTTGTGTTGGACTCTGATTCCCATGATTCCATGCTGGCTCAGGGATGATGCAGAGAGGGCATTGTCCAGGACAAATGCAGGGTAGCAGGCGCATGGAAGCCTTCTGTAAGTTATTTGATAAAGTTTACAATCCTTAGCCAAAGAAGGATTGTTTTGGATTACAATTCCCACAATTCCTGCCACGCTGGCTGGGACTAATGGAAGTTGAGTGTTCATAACTTGTGGATAGCAGTTGCCAACTGTCTGCTATAGTTGCCCAGTTCCATTCCCACCTGTGTCATATTGGGTGCCTTGGCAGATGCCTGGAAGCTTTGTGTCTTCTCAAGATCCAGGAACAAATCTAGGTCACAGCCACAAACATCAAAGCCATTCACCGAGGACCCAAAGGGGAGGATGGCAGAACCTGTTGGGAGCAGGAGGAGCAAAGCTGATGACTAAAAAAGGACAGACCCAGCTGACTGCGGTAAAGGTTAAGAGTGATAACATACCAGGGAAAAACTCTAGGAACACTTCCTGGAAGAGTGTGACCAACAGGTCTCGTAGGCGCCGCTCGCTCTCCGAGAACTCAAAGAGTTGAACCATCAAAGACATCTGGGCATCCACCTACAAAGGAGAAGACCAATAATGCAGCCTCAGATGAGATTAGCTGGCTGAGAGCGCTATATTCCACTGGGTCTCCACTATGGATGTTAGGAATATCTGAAGTGCCAACCCCTCAAGTATTTCTACTCACATCATCAGCTTGGCACAAGTTTTCTGCCAGCTTCTCAGGGCTCAGCTGCTCACGCTTGGCTGACCCTTGCTTCCTGGGAGGATTGTATTTAAAGTCCTTCTTCTCTCGAGGTTTGACCCGTAGCCTCTGCCCTCCCAGACTATGCTGTGGTTCTGTCAGAACTTTCTCCAGCACCTCCTCATTCTGCAGCTCCACAATGGCATAGACTCCCTAGAGGAAGAAGAAAGAAGAGAGAGGAAAATAACCTTCATTTCTTCTCAGGTTACCACCAGCCATCTTCTACGACACAGGGACAGCGCTGCCATGTCATTGTGGAATCTGGGCACCTACAGAGGTGAAATATTCGCTCAGCCTTAGTAGAGCAGAATAACATCTTAAAAATGGAAGGAACAGATCAAGAGAAAGAACACAATTTACTTGGATCAATATGCAATATGTAGATGCACAGAATTCTCTTTCTGAAAAAGGATAAGGGATAAAAAATAACAGTTCTGCAATCTGAGATACTGTAACAGGATTATTCAAATGGAAAAATTACTTTAAAATGTACAGCTTAATCCTATGCATGCTTCCTGAAATCAAATGCTAGTGGTTATACTTCCCATACAGAATGCATAGAATGGCTGTCAAGAGTCACTGGCTCTCTTAAGAACAACAGTGCCGTCTCCTACATATCAATTCAGAGACAAACCTTACAAAGTTCAGTAAAGCTGAGTCCCAGATACATGGACATAGGATTGAAGCTTCAGCCCCACCAGCTCTTAGGAACAAAGCAAGGTGTCAAGCTGATCTCGTGAATTATATGAAGAATTATGGGGGGCAGAACAGAGCTTTTCTATACATTGGGAAGCACTGTTCTCTGTAAAGCTATTTGAAGAAGCCTTAAAGGGTTATTTCGATACATTTGCCCTATTTCCTCTTATTCTCAGGGAGATACATGCCTACGGAACCATCGTAATGGGTTCTACAAGATTTAATTCAGCAACCCAAGAGTTTCAGTTTTATATATGCAGTCCTGCTGCTGACAGGTTCACCTTATCTTTGTCCATCACCACATTGGCCACCTCCCCGTAGGCCTGGAAATAATCACTCAGCTCCGAGGCTGGAGTGCCTTTGCGGAAGCCACTGACAAAAACGCTGCGGCTCTCTTGTGTCTGGCGGACAGTACGGAGGTTTTCCAGGCGCTGGTGTTTTTTCCCACGCAAGTGGTCATCCAGGCTGGGCTCTGCAACATAAAACCAAGGCTTTGTAAGCAGGAAAATGGGGGAAAGATTCCTAAATATGTTTTTAGACTAATGTTCCTGCCCACTGATGGGCAGCAGCTTTCTGAAACTCATTGGCTTTATCTGGAGCACCTTGAGCGGCTCTGGCTAAGGCAATTCCGTGTGAGAAAGAAGCTTTAAAATCAGAAAAGTTGTGCAAGCTCAACTAGCCAGTTCTCACTAGATGAAACCCCCTTTTCAAGACTCCTGCTCCACCTTCAGACAGAGGTGGCAAAGTGGCTGCTGGAATGTCTGAAAGGTACTGCTGCTTAAGTACGGAGGCAAATGGAAATCGGGCCATTCAAGGGCACCCCTGTTCAGCAATGGGAGCATGGCTATAGCGGCAAGAGCGCTCGGGCCATGTTTCAAATGCTTCTCCTTTACTTGAACCCCCAAATCGATTTATCCATGCCTCGGTCACCCAGACCCTCGACCTCGGATCCCACTCACTGTTGGCCACCGTCACGTGGCAGAGGCGGCAGCGAAAGCCTCCTCGGGGCAGAGACTCCACGTCGCTCGGCTCGGAGCTCGCCATGCCGGAAGCTGCACGCTCTTCCCCAAAGGGCCCGCGGGTTTCCCACCGGAAGTACTGCCCGAGGAGGCGGGGCCCGACGCTCTATCCTTGTCTCTATGGTTGAGCCCTGGAAGGGGGTGTGGCTGCCAGGACGTAGTTCCGCTGGGTCATCGCCAAAAGTTAAAAGGGCCGCGTGCGCGCCGGGCGTTCATCTCGGGTTCCTATTCGAATGCTTTTGTGGGCGGCGCATGCGTAAATGCGTCAGAGTGGGATTTGCTTACGTTCAATGGAGAAGCGGCTGCGCAGATCAGGATAGGTACCATTTCATCAAGCGCATCTATGACTTGCCCACATGGATAAGGAGAGGAAAACAGTCCTTTTCTAGCAATAATCAGTCGTCTAAAAAAAAAACAGTCTACACGCTCTTAACACCTTGTCTAAAAAAACAGTCTACACGCTCTTAACACCTAAGTTAAATTTAGTTTTCTTCTATACTGTACACAGTATAAGGCTTTGTACCTACAGTTTCCCATAGCTGTGAAACTTCTGGATGTTTTCAACAACTTTAAAGTATTTTTGTGCATAGAAGCAATGCAGATAATTAGTTGTTGCCTGGAATGTCAATAATTATTATTTTTTACTTTGATGCCCATGAGAGTTTTGATACAGCTGAAAGTTATTGTCGTTTCATTCTGGATTTTAGTTGTTGCCTGGAATAATGTCAATAATTATTATTTTTTTTTACCTTGATGCCCATATGAGTTTTGGTACAACTGAAAGTTATTGTCGTTTCATTCTGGATTAACATTTTCAGGATAGATGCCAGCAGTAATGAACAAGGGCTTCTGGTTTTCCTGAGAGGTCTATAAAGCTCTAGAGCTTTTAGGAGGATGCTCAGACAAGGATGTTCAGACTCTAGTCTAGCAGATTGTGTTGAAGGTGCCCCATCTTTATAGTCCGTGGTCAAAGACACAGGTGGAGGGAGATCTTATTCCGAACACGGTAAGGAGGCATAGTCATTAAAACTGAAGGTGAAGGTTTGTGTTGGTGAGTTTCTTCTGAAGCCTCAGCAGAGCCTGCAGGTCGGAAGAGCCTTGTTCTCTTTCATGCTATGCAAACATGTATAGTATTTCAGTATATTTATACATAAAGGCACACACATCTTCCAGGGGGGTACCAGTGCTATCTGTAGCAGTAAGCCAAAAAAGTCTCATTGTGACATCTTAAGCAGAAACCAGTTTTATGTGGGGTATACTTTTGTGGATCACAGCCTACTTCATGAGATGCATCAAAGTCCCTTGGTTGTCTCTTGACAATGCCAAGGTTCCCTGTGGAATTTCGTTACAGAATAGGGACTTGAATCTTAATTTCCCAACAATTTCATCCAAAACTAAAGTGCTACAAAACTGTCCCCAGCCAAATATTTATTGCCTTGACTCCAGTATTTACAGCACGTTTTTCCTTTATAAAGTTGAAATCAGGGAGGCAGTCAATAGGGATCCAGAGGGATCTCAAAGCGGAGTCAAACTAAGCTGTTCTTTGCCATCCCCGGGCTTGAATTTCCTGTTTGTAGCCCAGCAGCCATGCGGTTGGTTTGTCTCATCTTGCCTGGCAAGAACCCTGCTGAGCCTGAGGCTTAGTCAGCTTTTGACTTCGGCATGAAGCTCCCTTGCTAGTGTGGGTGTGTAGCTTGAAAGTGCTGTTCAGCCCCAGGCTTTTAGATGCCGTCTACAAAAAGAGCTCTCTTTCCCTATGAAGTGGAAGCCTACCAGCTTTGTAAGACAAGGTTTTTCTGTCACTTCCACAGCTGCCAAGCCCTGTGCCAGAAGTCCCTGGCAGTAACAGTCCACAGACCAGTTTTGCAGTCTTGCCAAGTTAACTGGGCATAGAATGTACACAATAAAAGAAGTCAAGTTGCTAGTCCTCACCAGAGTACTGAAGCAGCATAAGCACACATTAAGATAATTACAAGCTCCCCCCTTCAAATATATGAATTCTGTAGATTTAGGCTCCTGAAAATAAAAGGGCTCAGATTTCTATTATGGCTTCATTTGCACACAGCTCTTCCAGTAGACCAAGCAAAGACAGTATGCTGCTCACAATGAGAGCTTACAACTGCACATTCCCGAGTACTTAAGCAGCCCAGCAACCCGTATTGTGGGGCCTCATCACAGGAATTGTCCTGAAGCTGTCTTAACTCCCCAGTGCAGGGCTCATTAGAAATCTGGATTGGAAGTCTGCAGGCTATTTTGGCCGAGAAGGCAGGGATGAGTTAGCACAGCCCTTGCGTTATACCAGTTCCTCCTCCATCAGCCCTGTGCTATGAATCTTGGTTTCCAGAATTCATAGGTCCCAACACCAAAATGTTCTTTGGCCATCTCATGAGAAGAGATTCCCTAGAAAAGATCCTGATGTTGGGAAAGTGTGAAGTCAAGAGAAGGGGACAACAGAGGACAAGATGGTTGGACAGGGTCATCGGAGCGACCAACATAACTTTGACCAAACTCCGGGAGGCAGTGGCGTGCTCTGGTCCATGGGGGGTCACGAAGAGTCGGACATGACTAAATGACTAAATAACAACAACAAAATGTTCCAAAAGACCTATATTTTTGTTTTTCAAAACCAGAAAATGAACAACTCGACCTTTCTGTAATGTAATCTGAAGATTTGGAAATGACTATAAATCCTAGCAAAGCAGAGACTGGGTAAGTATAACATTGTCCTCTGTTCCTTCATGCCAACTCACCCTGGCACGCAGCTTGTTAAGGGCAATAAGCCGCATGATGCAAATATGCAAACATCAATAGGATTCGATGCTGACCTCTGTTAAAATGCAAGGATACGCACCGTCGCCAGACTCTCAGTCTTAGGGTTACACTGTTAATGTCATATCAAATGGTAGGATTAAGAAAGGCTCCCTTTGCCTCTCTCGGTCTGTCCTGTCTTGAGCAAAAAAGAGGCCAAAGAATTCAAGGCCCAAAATCCCTGTTCTGCTTAAAACTGGGGGGAGGGGAGGACTTGTCAAGTGTTGTTCTCTTTGTTCTTTCTGAGCTCTTCAGACGGTTCTTCCCAAGCGGGTGTCATTCTGTTGTGATCGACTACGATCCCCCATCATCCTGTTTGGAGGTGATGGGAATCATCACAGCAGAAAACATCGGGAGCTTGAGCTGTGCTGTGAGCAAAGTACTGCTCCTCCTCTTGCTTGGACCCGGGTGGGCCAGGCCTAGGCAGGGGAACAAAAAAAGGGGCATCGTCCAGGCGGATCCGAACTGCCTGCGGCGACAAGAAAGAACGTCCTCCAGGTGATCTCTGTGGTTGCCAAATGTCGGGGAGATTTAGCAAAGCAGCCCCACCGCCTTCAAGTGAAATACCCTTTCCCCCCCCCACCTCTTGCTTTCTCAGCCAGCACAGATCCCGCCCTTGGCCTGATAAAGATCAAGGTAGAAGAAAGAAATGAAGAAAACAGCATTTATTTCTTTATTTCTTTGTTGCTATAAGAACCAGAGGCTGACTTTAAAAAAACTGACTTTTCCTCTCCAAACCATGTACAAAAAAATGGGCTCTTCAAAGGTTGGGGGGGGGGTTTGAGGGCCTAGGAGTAGCCGTGTTAAGAAGGAAGTGGGATTGTTCTTCTCTCCCAAATACGTGGCGTATGTGGGACCAGAGAGCAAGTTTAAAAAAAAGACACACACACACCCTCCCCCAAAAAAGAAAAGAAAGAGGACACACAAACGGAAAGGGGGAAGCAGTCATAGAGGTGGGATGGGAGGACCTTGGACAGGGACTCTGCGTTCTCCCGATTCCCTGCCACCCCTACAGTATTTCACCCCCGGAAAAAGAGGAGGGCGCAACCTGAATTTCTACCGCTGCCATGGGGGGGAAGCAGCATTGTGCGCAAGTCCACGGGGGGCGAGGGAAAGGGCAAAACAATGTAAAATGTAGAAATTAAAATATATATATTTATATATATAAAAAGGAGAAAGGTGGATGCCCAGGATCCACCAGAGGGGTGGGGGTGAGACGAGATGCCCCCTTCCTGCCTAGCCTGATGGCAGCAGACGCTTGGCAGCCGTGCGGAGCTCCAAAGTTCCCTCTGTCAGACAGGCCTCGGAGACAGAAAAGGGGCGTTGGTGCTGGGGTGAGATGGCTACAGAGATCCTAGAGGGGTGCCAGAGAGACGGCAGCACTCAGTCTTCCAGGACGATGGGCTCACTGGTGCTTGCAGGATGGGCTGGGGGCACGGGCACCAGGGGAGCCACCACGGGCCGGAGGGGCAGCACCGACTTCACTTTGAGCGGAAGGTTGGGCCGGCGGGCAGCTCGGCGCATCTCCAGGTGGCTCAGGGCCTTTCGGAGCGCCCTGCAGGAAGAAGAGAAAGGAGCACTGAATGTCAGGCCGGAAAGCCACAGAGAACCTCTAAAGACGGGCGAAAGCGCAGGGCTCCTCAGGCCACCGGGGAAAACACAGTAAACGGTGCTGAGCTCCGCCTGACAGGTTGCCGCCACAAAGAACTGAAAAGCAGGCCCTCTATTTTTCTTTTTTGTGAGCTCCCTCAATAACCTCTGGCTTTATTCCTCCTCCACAGCACTTGCAGTTACTTGCTTCTCTCGCAGATTTCCCCCACCCTCCCACTACGGCTTTGGCCTCAGAGATGCTGATTGTTGCCACACACAGCCTAACTGCAGCCAGGGTTTTGTGAAGCTGCTGATGCCGCCAAAGCCACACCGAACACACGCCACCTGAAGTTTCCGACAGGAAAGGGGGACTCGCACTTGAAAACCCAAGCCGGGGCAAGACTGTGTCTTGGGCAGAAAGGACTCTGAAGGAAGATGGGCTTGGTTCAGGGAAAGCTCTGTGCCTTCTAAGCCCACGGTTTTCGGAACAGTGTCTAAACCTCACGGCTGTGAGCAGCAGCAGCAGCAACGGCTTCAGACCTCCCAGGCTGGCCTCGAGCTCATTTCCCTTACAGCTTCAGACCCCCTCCTTCCCAGGCTGGCCTCGAGCTCATTTCCCTTTTCTGGCTTTAGCCACCTCACGCTCTTGCCAAAACACCCAGAATGTGCAATAACTGTTAAATGACATAACAATCTTGTCGTTCGTTAGAGAAAGGAATGCCCAAGGATCGCCGAGGCAGAAAGGCAAAGGAAATGCAACTGCAGGGCTGAATCCCGACCCCCGAGACCCCAGACTGGTCAGAGGAGGACTCTTCCATTCCGAATCCATCAGGAAACAGAAGCCACGTCCAGGTCAGAAGGCAGAGACCTCCTCAGCCAACGCAGGTAGGACAAGGGGACGCTGGAGGTGGGGTGGAGGACGGCCGGCATCTTCTACTTCCACACTCTCCATAGGGATTGCTCGCATAAGCGCCGTCTTTGTGGCAGGAGAATGAAACACAAGAGCCAGTACCAACCCTGTGCCAGAGAAGGGATACGCACAACACCTTAACCCTAACCCAAGCCCACCCTTCCAGCACCTTCCTGCTTGCCCCAATGGCCTGGTGGCTGCTGAGTGTGTGGGGTGGTGGTTGTTTTTTTTAAAGAAAAAATCCCTTCCCCAGTACCTGGTGTCCTTGGTAGCCACAAAAACGACAGGGTTGGGGGCGTCGGCCGGGTTCAGCTTCTGGCGCTTGATGGCAGGCTGAGTGCTCGACCTCATTCCGGAAGTCATGGGCCGCCCGTTGGCTGAGAAGGGGAGCCCGCCCCCTGCCACCTGCACCCGGTCGCACACAGAGCTGTCAGCGAGAGGAAACCCCCTCCCTCCGCAAAAGCCTCCCCTCTCTACTCTTGAGTCAGCCTCAATCCTGCTCTGAAAGGGGAGGAGGTCCTACACGCCGGGCTGCAAGGAACTGGGCGGCCGACCCCCCCGCCTTCTGCTGCAGGGAAGCTCACGCAGCTTGAGGCGGCCCAGAAAGACCCCAAGAACCCCTCCCGCCAGGAGAAAAGGCATTCTGGAAACCGCAAGCAGCATCCCGCATGACGTGCCACAAGACGACAAAACACCACTCTACCCTTTTCTGCCCCTTTGGGCACGTGGACCTTTCAGGGCTGCGATGCTCAGGTCACCGGTCGAGTGCATGGGCTTCCCCCTCCCCCCCACAAGAGCCGCCATCGCCACCAGCGCTTTGTGCCTCCCTCCCGACCTCATCCGCCCCCCCCCCGCCCAAGTGTGCGGAGATACTTCTAAATCTCACTAGGCTTCGCATCCGTTTCCCTCAGCCCAGAGGCACTCACACTTTCATAGGCTCGCTTGCTCACGATGCCGGCCAAGCCTCGGTTCTGGGTCAGCTGGTTCCTATTGATGGGCGTCTTCGTGCCTCGTGGGGTTTTTGGTTTCAGGGGCGCCTGTGCAGCTGGAGAAGACCAGAACAAAAAGCAGAGTGTAGGGGAGAACACACATCAGGAAAAAAAGAGATTCATTTGCAGAGAGGTATGCTCTGAACTGTTTTTAAATTTAGGAATGGGAAAGCTGTGGTAGCTTTGTCTTTCTCCGACTCCAGGGGAGCTCAGTCATGTGGCAGCATCTTCACAAGCGGTGTGGGTTTTGAGGGAAGGACACAATTCCTTCCCCCCATAATCTTTGATTATCTTGGCTTACCTGATTTGGAACTCAGCGCTGTCAAAAGGTATTGATAAGAAATCATTATTATGCAAGCTTGGAGACCATGCCATTTAATGCTAAGCAGATCTGCCATGGCAAGCCATCTCCCACTGAAGGGAGAGGTAAGCCACTGGCAAGAGGAGGAGACAAGCCTACGACATTTTCTCAAATCTTTGAAAACAAGCCCTGGCTCCATCGTCTTACCGAGCTCCTTGACAATGGTCGCCAGGGGAAGCCGCACCAGAGGGTGGATCTTGAGGGGTGTTTTTGCTGCTTTGGGAAGCCGGATGGAGCCTGAAGAGGAGAAACAGAAGCCTGGCATGAGATCCAGGTGCCCCCCTTCTTCTGCCCTTATCTCAATGCGCAGGTGGCTCTTCCAGTTCCCTCCTCCCCACGTACACTCTGCCTTGATGGCATTGGCGTTGATGGGTGCATAAGGACGCCGAGCCGCCCGACGTGGCTGCAAGATGTCCCGGCACATCCGGCGCGCAATACGGGTCAGCTTGGTCGTCTGCAGCAGGAACGTCTGCCGGTTCTTGGCCAGAAGTTTTGCCCGGTTGGCACTGGTCGTATATGGCGAGAGGCTCTGGGCTTCTGGCCGAGACATGTGGCCCCTGGAGTGAGGCTCCTGCGAACGCAGAGAGGTGGTGAGATCACCGCACAGTTTAAGACGTGAAGCACAAAAAATGAGAGAGGATGGAGGGGAAAAGGCTGGCATGTAGCAAGAGGCTACTTCACTCTGGTCTTGCTGTTTTTGAGTCAGAGGAAGGGATTTTTTAAAAATTCAAGAGCTAAAGCCCACAAGCATGTCGACCTTTTGAGTCAGAGGAAGGGATTTATTAAATCAAGAGCTAAAGCCCACAAGCATGTCGACAGACAAAGCCACTTTCCCAGGCAGAAAAAGAAGAGGCCGAACAAAGAGGAGCCACCTGTTGCTGCAGAGGATGCTGCCAATTTCCAAGGGATGCTCGAGGGCCTTACCGTGACGCTGCGTGCCGCTCCCTCGAGTTGGGTCGGGGTCTTCAGGCCACCGTATTTCTTCCAGTAGATCCAACAGGAGGCGCAGAGGCGGCACTGCATGTTGGGAGGGCCCCAGGCATACCACTGTGCCGACTGGGTAGCTGGGAGACAAGGAGGAGACAAGGGGGAGGGGTCAGCAACTCAGGCTTGGTGCTACCTGGGTGCTGCTGTCTCCCACTCTATTGGGAGACACCGCTATGCCACGTTAAGCATTTGTGTCGGAAAAGCACCACTCCTTCTGCATCGCGAGGACCAAAAGGAAGACGGGACAAGAGTCCCCCACCCTCCTCCGGCCCCTGGGCCCCGCCCAGCGACTCACTGTGGCAGCTCTCGCAGGTCAGTCCTTTCTGGAAGCCGGCGCCATTCATACCAGGCTTAGAGCCCACGGAGACAATTTGGTTGGGATTGGGTTTTGTGCTGAGTGGAAGAGGGAAGGAGGGGGAGAGAGAGGGTGCACGCCGTGAACAGACCTGGCCACGTTCTCTGCCCAGCCATTCCTACACGGGTCAGGAGGAATACTCACTAGGTGGGGATGTACACCTGCTTCAGTTTGCTGTCAGCTTCAGCTGCTTTCAACCTTTTCTGCATGAAAAGGGAAACCATGTAATGTCAAAAAAAACCCCAAACATGTGTGTTGTGCAATTTGCCCTACTCCCAAGTCCGAGATACAAAATGCCAGCATGCTACTGCATCCTTGTGCTGCCAGAAGAAGAATGCCTGGGGATCTGGGAAGCCCCTCGTGACTTTTGGAAGTCTGCTTTGGGGCATTTCCAAGCTCTCCGGGACAGGCAATGGAGGCACTCTGGGCGGGCAACTCCCAGGTTGATTGACAGGCTTCTCATGTCAGCATAAGGTTCCAAGAGGGGCCACTTGGCGACTGGCTCCTAAGACACAAGGAATCTCTCCATCCTTGAACTGTGACGGCTCACCCACCTGCTGGATGTATCGGTCTGTGGTTTTCCACATATAGTAGAACTGCACGATGCTGGCCAGAGACTTCCATGGGAGCTGCGAAAGACAGAGAGGTGTCAAGAACAAGCATGGTTCAAGCCTATCCAGTATGTGAAAAGCTCAGGGCCTGCCTCTCCACCCACCCCCCATGCCTGATTTGGAGGTGAGTGGGTAACTGAGCCTAGGAATGCGGTGGAGATCAGCAGCGATTGTTTGGTGGTGGGAAGGAGGGCCAGAGCTTGGAAGGTTATGTTTCAAAAGGCATTTCCTGTGCCACTCATACTTCTCTACAGCTCGGTTATCACAAACAAACAAAGAAAAGCAGACTCTCCACTGGCTAGTCACACACACTTTGTAATGGGGGAGAGGTTCAAATTACAAATTGTTTTTGGCTCCTTGTCAGAAAGCAAACACGTTTCAGGGGAAAGGAAGGGAGAAGCACCTTCCCCACCTGAAATAGAAAGGAATAGAAAGGGGGGGGCAGAGCCGAAGGGCAGCCAAGCTGTGGCTCCTCCCGGACCCTCGGCCCAAAACTCACAAAGTCCTGCCGGATGTCGTTGAAGTCCTTGCCGTACTTCTCCAGGGCCTCCTCGAAGAGCATGGCTTCCGACGCCGACCACTCCTCCATCTCGTCCCTGCACAGCACGGGGCCTCCCTGGGGCACCAGCGTGGACATGGCCTTGGCCAGGTCGTAGCCGTTCCGCTGCAGGGTGTCCATGGCGTGGAACTGCCAAGGCAAAGGTGGGGGGCCGTCAGGAAAGCGAGGAGGGAGAGCCGGGAGGTGGGGGTGGGAGACAGCGGGAGTCCCAGGGCTGCCCGGTTTGCAGACCAGCAACAGAACCGGATACAAAGAACGGCAGCTTGGTGAGAATCTCATGGTCACATCAAATGCCCTTCTCAAGCTGTGGACCGGGACCGACACCACAGGGGAAAGGGCTGATTTACTGTAACTTCTAAACTGTGGTTAACATACGACGGGGTGTGACACCTGAACGGAACCTCTCCTTTTCTTTTCTTTTAAAAAAATGACACCTGCCTTCCTACGACTCTTTCTCATTACAACCATAATCCTGAAAGCCTCTGAGCTGTGTCAAAGGGGATCCGAATCGGAATCTGTACTGAGTGGCGGAGTCAGTCTCCTCACCCCTCTCATAAGTAGGAAAATGAACCCCCAGGCCTGTGTAAAACGAGCCACTTGTAGTTAGCACTACAGATACTATTTGCGGACTTCAGCCCCTTTTGCAGACTCGCGTGCAAAATGTCAATTTATCTTCTTGCAAAAAGGATGCGCAGGGACCCCTTCCTCCTCGCCCGGAGTCCCCTCTCACCAGCGTAATGTCTCGGGAGGCGGCAGCTGCGCTCATATGAAGGCTGGGCTGCCGGATGGAGCTGCTGCAGTCGAGGGCCCGCGCGAAGGTGCCGACAGCCCTGGGGCAAAAGAGAGAAGAGCACAGTGAGGGCCTGGGGGAGGAAGGGGCAACCGGACAGGACGAGAGGGCACAAACCACCCCCGGTGGGGTCTCACCGAGCCACCACGAGGAACTGGTCAATCTGCCGGTCCGTGAGGGGGTTGTCCGGGTCCCACACCTTCATCTCCATCTTCTGCTGGTTCCGGTTGTCAGACTCTCCTGAGGGCAGGGGGACAAAAGATGGGTGTGTGTGTGTGCGTGGGAGTCAATACACCTGGGCTACCCCACTCCCACTAACGGAAGGGGATTTCTTTCTCTTATTTTTACAGCCATCGGGCCCGAAAGATGGGTGTGTGTGGCGGAGTCAATACACCTGGGCTATCCCACTCCCACTTTCTCTTATTTTTACAGCCATCGGGCCCTGCCCTTGCTCACCTTCGGCCAGTCGGTCAGGGATCTCTGCCTGGTACTTGCAGCCCACCCGAATCTCACCCTGGTCAGCTAAGAGAGTCTTCTGAACTGGGTCAAAAACCAGTGAGTAGAAAAAACAATCCTGGGCAGAAAAGAAGCATCAGAGTGAAGAGAAAGGAACCAGAAATCCCAAGCTCTCTCTAACCTCCTTCGGCCTCGCCACCTGGTTCTTGCCCACCGCGTTCCGTTTGAGGGCTCTTGGGGACATCATTCTCTTGATGAAAGGGATACCTTCAGGACCCCAGAGAGGCAACGGGGGGAAATGGCTCCTTCCCCGGCTGGCCTCACCTCTTTATCCAGGTACTGGCCAAGGATGTCCGTCTCATTGAGCAGCGTCACGCTGCATTTCCCCCTGTAAGAGACGAGTAAGACAGGGATCAGATGGCTGGCATTCCCACCCCGTGGCCATAGAAAGACCCACAAGCGCCGACTTCTCTGCTCTAGAACGTTACCCCCCCCCACTCACCGTATGTGGGTCGCAGGGAGACTCTCGAACTGGCGGGATAAGAAGAGCTCCCGGTGCTTCAGCTGGTGCCGCTGCTGCTCCGACATTGTGGGCTGCTTGGACTCCTCTTCGAATTCTCCTGGTTCATTTGAGGAAAGGGGGAGGAGGAGAGAAAGTGGGCCAAGGCCAACGGCGGTTCCCTTACACAAATCCCATACTACTTAGAGCAGGCAACATCTGGACCTTTCACTGAGCCAGGGATCCAAGCCTTGAGAGGGTCCCCAATCTGGGGACTGCCTAGAAGAAACAACTGGCCTGCTGGATTAGATGAGAGGCCTCTGCAGCCTGATGTTCTGTTTCCAACAGTGAAGAGCCAAACGCTCTGGAAGGACCCATAAATACTGCATTACTGAAAGACCCTTCTCTTCAGGCAAGTTTTCCCTTAGTGTCCGGCCACCTGAGTGGGGTATTTTACTGGATTGTTCTGCTTTACTGCTTTTGGTGTTACCTTTTTTTTTACTGTTGTTTACTGTGGTATTTGTTTGATCTCTTTTAATCTTTTTATACTTACTTTTTCTAGTTTTAAATATTGTCTTTTAATATGGTAAGCTGCCTTGGACAAGGTGGGGTAAAAACATTTTAAATACCGCACAATGCAATAAAAATACTGTTGCTAAGGCATATTGCTCTCTTACTCCTTTCCAGCATTTGAGACATTAAGTGCAAATTATTAACACAGAGAGAGCACGTATGTGGGGGAACCTGGCTTTGAATCTCAACAAAGCTCAGAAAGCAACTTTCATCTAGTCTCTGTCACCCACATGGTCCAAACTCATTGCTGAGAAAATAAAAATGAAGTACTAATTTCCGCTCCCAAAACTCCTGTGGAGTTCTTTTCATCCAGGGGCTGCAGGAAAACTTTTTTTTAATTAAACTGCTGCTGCAAGGACTGACAGGAGTCTTTGATTCCTCTGCCCCATCCTGAAAGGGCCTTGGGACTATCTGGAGGAGAAAGTGGAAATGCCATCTTTCCCAAAATGTGCAGCAGCTGGTGAAATCGACAGCCTTCTTACACAGCACATGTTCAACTTCAGGATTTCAGCCACCAGGTGTCCACTCCCTTCTCCTCGGCCTGTCTTGGCCCCATGATGGCTCACTTTCACTGGATGATCCAGAGTTCAATCAATACCAAAGAGGGGGGAACCCAAACCCTTCTCCCCCACCTCATTTTGTTTAAACCCCTCTCCCTTTCATCGTCTCATTACTCTCCCCCCTGGGCTAAGAGGCATAAACCACGTCTGTCTTTCCTAAGACAGGAAGTGCCCCCACCTCCCGATGGTTTCCGTTGCCCTTTTTCTCCTAAACATAGAATGGCGTTTGGTTCTAATTGGAAGCCACTGCCATCGTTTCCGTTCCCACTTCCCTCACCCCACCTCCCCAGCAACACAGTGAGTACGCAGGTTGCTTTTTCTCTCAGTGGTTCAGCACCCACCCACCCCCACCCACACAAAGCAGCCACGGCCTCCAAGAAGCACACCCTTCTTCCCCCCACTTTTGCTTCTAGAGCCTGAGGGCACCCCAGCAACAGGTGAGGACAAGAGGAGCCAGGGGGACACTGCCTCTCCCCTTCCCCTCTCAGGAGACATGGGGTGGGTGGGAATGGGCCAGCACTCCCCCTCCTTGTGTGTCCAGACTGGGCAGAATCAAGCCCTGCTCAAGAGGCCAGGAAGCCCTAGGCTTGTGGCATGTGCCTCCTTCCCTCCCTTCTACCCACGAGCAGAGCAGCCCTCCTCCTCCTTCTCCGGGACCCCTCTCAGCGTAGGGGACAGGCCTTTCAGGTGCCAGAGGGAGGCAGCTCAGGACAGAGAGATGGGACCTCCCAGGCTTCCCTTTCCACCCCACCCCTCCAGGCCTCCCTATTTCTGTTTTCATGTGGCCTTCTGCAGTATCAGAATTCTTCCCACTGCCCCAAAGGTAACTGCACCCCACCTTGGTCCCTAAAGCCATCTCAACAAGCTGGTACAGAGGCCAAGAACCGACCCTGCCTCCGCCTGCTGCCATGCTTGGGATCCATGAGAGGCCCTGTCGGTGTGGGCACACGCTCAGCGACAAAGAAAAGCCAAACGCACACGGCTGCAAAGGTAGAGAGAAGCCACGGGGAGCCCTCAGAGATCGCTGCCTCGGGCAGAGGGTGGGGGAGCCTTTCATCCACCGCCTTCTCCTTTCCTGGGTGAGTTTCTGCCTCCCGTGTGTGTTACACTCGAGGGCGACCGCTCGGAGCCGCCCTGCCGCCTGCACGTTTCTCTCCACCTCCTCCTTACAGGCTGGTGTCACCAGACACGCAGCCAAACCACCCAGACCTGCCCACGGCAACCCTTACCCCCCTCCCCCAACATACTTCAACACACAGGCCAAAAAAAAGGGGGGGGGAAGAGAGAGAGAGAGAGAGAAAACGAATGGCTGGGCCCGTTCTGTCATTCCCCAGCTACTCACGGGCGTTGCTGTCAGCCAGGCTGTTAAGGCTGCTGGAGATGTCACGCCTTCGAAACAGGCAGACCACCTTGGCCTCCACATTGCCATTGGCGGTCTGGAAGGAAAAAGAGGCAGAACAGAGGTGTTCACAGGCTTGCAAATCTGAAGTGATCTACCAGATAATATTTATTTATTAAATTTGTAACCCTCTCATCTAGACCGAAGTCTAGTGAGTTTAGCTTTCCGTTAAACCCACACCCCGGCTTCCTCGGCTACAGCAGTCCCAGGGGACAGAGTTCTGCTCTTCCGTGGCCCTCCCTCAACGCAAAGCACCCCTACCTACCTTGTTCAGCTCTTCGATCCGGCGAACGAGGTAGGGGTTGCTAGAGGAATTCTCAAAGTAAACATAATCTGCAAAAGGGAGGAAAAAAAAACCAGTGAGGGAGACGAAGCTGGGAGGCAGGCTCCGAATCTCAGGGAGACACCGTCTGCCATAAAAAAACACAGGGACCCCCTTTCTAAGAAAAAACAGGCAGAGTTCAGGCATTTTACAGACTCCGCAAATGAAATTCAGAAGCAAAACAGTGGCTTGGGTAGGAGACATGCAGGAGGAGCCTTGTGGCGCAGTGGTTAAACTGCAGTCCTGCAGCCAAAACTCTGCTCATGATCCAGGTTCAATCCCAGGTAGCTGGCTTGAGGTTCACTCAGCCTTCCATCCTTCCAAGGCTGATAAATGGAGCTTCCTGGGGTGGTCAATGTGTAGCTTGCCTCATTAAACTGTAAATCGCCCAGACAGCTTTAAGCTCTACAGGGCAGTATATAAACAACACACTTTTCTTTTAAGTTTCAAAAACAAGAATAGACACTGTGTTATTCTTTTGCAGTACTAGAAATTACCTAGCCCAGGAATCTATCTGTAGATCCACCTTAACCTTGGCCACCTCCTGATTTAAAAGCTATCTATTATCCGTCCTTTTGAACTAGGCCAGTGTTATCATTATCCCTTGTCTATACCGTAAAGAGTCTGAGCCTCAGACAGTGGACAGGTTGCCCAAGGGTATTTCACAAGCTCACAAAATGCCAAAATTTAAACCAGGGACATTCCTGTTTAGTGCACATGCACATAACACCCGCCACAGCACTTGTTCGACTAAATATGCCCCAAGAAGATGAGAGCAGTCCAGCTGGATTAGTCCAAGGATCTGTCTAGCCAAGCACCCCACAACACACACACCCTTGCCAAAATGAAATTCTTTGAGTTTCAAAAAGGCAGAGAAATGGGAGAGAGATGGAGGAGATTGCCTGATGGTTCTCTGTCTGAAGAGATGGGCCAGCAAACCCAAACTGCTGGCTGAGGAGGAGCTTGAAAGCAACTTGCATGCAGAAGCTATCTCCATCTAAGAAGCAAACCTTCAGTCATGTGAATCTGGGACACTAATAACAGCATATAAGTTGGAACTACCCACAGTAATGCCTTGAAGATGATTTATCATTGAAAGCTTACTGTTTTCTGCCCCCCAATTCTTAATGTTCAAATAAAGGCATCACCTGCTCCTGTATTTGTATTGTTCCTGCAGCCACCAGTTACAGGCTTCTAGGACACTGAGAAAGCCAGGCACAGAGGCGATATTTCCCTGTCCAACCAGTCTCTCAACATGGCTAATAGACATTAATCAAGTGTGCAGGCCAGGATGGGAAGACCACATCCATCACAGTCTCACCACAAAAAAACATTAAGTAGCCTACATTAAGTACAGTATAGGTTCCCCTTGACAATTTGTCCGCTTGTGTTTGACTCTAGAGGGCGATGCTCATGCCCCGTTTCCAACCCATAGAACTAGCGTTTGTCCGAAGACAATCTTCTGTGGCCACGTGGCCAGTGCGCCTAGGCACGGAACGCTGTTACCTTCCTCGCATTTGCATGCTTTTTTTTTTTTGGTGGGAATTAAGTAGCCTAATCTGGGTCAATGCAACTATTTTTCACCAAGACAAACCACAACAAAGCACCTCATGTCATTTCTCCCTATGGCCCTGCTTTAAAAAATGAATAAATTCCAGTCCAGCACTTCAGACTCTCTCCACTCCATCAGTGCCCCAAGGATGGGAGAGAAGATGGGGAATGGGTGGCCCTCCAGATGCTGTTAGGCTGCCACTTTCTCTGATCTGCGTATAAAAGGGTCTCCCAAGTGCCTAATAATAATAGCTGCCTTTGCAAGTATTTTATGTGCAAAGCTCCTATAGATCTGTAATAATAACAACTCATGCTGTTGAGTCAATTCTGACTTATGGAGATCCCCTTTTTCAGAGTTTTTCAGGTAGAGCAGATCTGGGCAAAGTGCGGCCTGAGGGCCACATACAGCCCGTGAGCCGCTCCTATCCGGGCTGTAGACAGTTTTGAACATCAAAACCATTTATAGCTTTTTGTCTGAAGTTGATCAGCTGCTTATCTTTAACATACCGCAAAAAAAAACCTCTTTAGCATTTGTGAAGATTAGCAAGTTTAAAATAAAAATAATCATAACATCACTGTTTCATTTTATTTTTAAGTAAAGTTGGTTCGGGCCCTGAACACAGCTCAGATTTTTCATGTGCCCCCCTATAGAAATTAATTGCCCACGCCTGAGACTACTGAGAAGTGGTTGCCCATTCCCGTCCTCTAGGGGGAGCCCTGGGACGGTGCAGCTTGCCCAAGGCCACCCAGGCTGGCTCTTCTCCCAGGAGGCACCGTGTGTGTGGGGGGGGGAATCAAACTCTCCCAACCTCTGGCTCCACAGCCAGGTACCTAAATCACTCAGCAATCCAGCCAGCTACAGTACATTATTTAGGGGACGTTATATATTCAGTATACAATTTATTACACAGCTGTACAATGAAGTTTATTGTGTGTTTGCTTCTTGCAACTTCAAGCCACTCCAGCTGGAATTAAAGTCAATAAATAAACAACAAACTTTAGCTATGGGGTGGGGTATAAATCTTTCCCTATAATGTCCCTTCTATTTGTGCATGACCTGATTCATTAGACTGGGCCTGTAAGGAAGGCTGGACAAAGTGCAGCCATCTAGATTCTGAGGAGCCACAACCCCCAGCAGTCACATGCGCTAGGGCTGACGGAAGCTGCAGCACAGCCTTGTTTGGCGGGCAGTACTTTGTCTACCCCAGTGTAAAGGAAACCATTATTATCCCCACTTACAGAAAAGCTGAGGCTGAGTGACGGCCACCTGCCAGCCCCTGGCTGTGCTGAGAGAGCTGCGGACTTCCAGCCCGTACCTCTGATCCCCATGCAAAGTTCTTAGGTAGCTAAGCCACCCGTTAAGCCTCAGTCCCCTTTAGGATTGCCAGTCCTTTGTCTCACACATAGGAAAGGTGTGTATCCACAAAGCCGATTTCCACTACTGCAGACAAATTCTTCCTTCTGCTACAGGAGCTGTGCATGTACGCAAGCGAATCAGAATCAACTCACACGAAATATCAGGAGGCAGAGAAACCAAGAGAAAAATAAAGCCGGGCTGGCAGAGTTGGAAAGAGTCAAGTAATAATGGGAAGACAAACGGCTCGACAGGAAAGGTCTGACTGGCATAAGAAGTTTTCAGAAGGAAGGCTCTAGAGAAACGGGGAAATCCTTAACAAAGAAGGGGAGATTCTTACAGGCTAATGGGATCACTGGCTAGTTTCAAAGAGAGAAGCAGAAAGGGAAGAATGAGGAAAGAAATTTTAAAAAGAGTGGGAGGAGGCGATTAAGGGGACAGCTTGTGAGTGGGGGGGAAGGAATCAGGGTAACAAGTTTTAAGTGTGAGGAGGTGACAGAGAGAAATGACAGGGTGATGGCTGCACACATGAAACTGCCATATGTATGCCCTTCTTGCAACATAGACTCTTTTCTTTCTCTCTCTCGCTATTCACGTCAGGATTATTTATCCTGATTAGATGTGGCACCTTGTGTTTGCAAGTGTGTGTTCGGGGGGTTCTTTAGCACTGGTATTTGATCCTGTTAGCTGGAGATGCTGAGGGCTGAGCCTATGGGGCTTTGTCACTGGCCTGTGGCCATTCCCCCTACAGTTGGGGTAGTGTTCAACCTTGCTCAGAATTGTGACAGAAACACACACATATACCAAGGTCCTAGTCCAGCCTCCTGTTTCCAACAGTAGGTGTGACCAAACACCTCCAGGAAGGCTGTAAAGCAAGTCACAAAGGCAACACCTCTGTCCTGTAGCTTGGCCCCACAATTTGGTTATCAGTGGTAGACTGCTTCTCTGCATGGAGGTTCCATCTGCCTCTCACGCTTCCGGCAAGGCAAACTGATCATCTCAATCTAAGTTTCCAAAATCCTTCTCGTAACATTACACACAGTGTAGTGTCCTCACTCACGCCAGACTGAGAGACTTGAACACCTGCCCACTTCTCCTTTTCTCAAACTCTTCACCACAATGTCCTTTAATCTGTTATGCACGCTGCTATTCATGTCTTAGCTCTCACAGAACATACCACATTTTCCCCAAACAGCACTCGGATCTTTCCACCTGTTGGCATTAACTTTAATCCCCACCTTTTTCTATCAGTCCCCTGATGATGCCCCCCCATGTTCATGTGGGCACCAACTCCCCCATCAGAGATAGAGATTGCTCTTCTCATTTGCTCAAGCCCATCTTTCAGCCAAAAGAACTAATTTAATTGCCAAATGCAACGTGATGATGCCCCCCTCATGTTCATGGGGGCACCAACTCCCCCATCAGAGACAGAGATTGCTCTTCTCATTTGCCCAAGCCCATCCTTCAGCAAAAAGAACTAATTTAATTGCCAAATGCAACTTGTTTTAGTCTCCCCGCTTCACTTCATCCCAAAGTGTGACGTCTGACAAGATGGTTTGGGACTGCCTTCTTGGCCTCCACCACTCCTTAGAATAGCTACTTCCTGCTCAAGACTTTTCTTCCTTTCAAACCACGCCCTCCACTACTCCGGCCCCATGTGCCTTCTGCATGTCCCAGAAGCCTTCTATATACCCAGTTCCCCGCCTCTTTACCACAGCCCTCGAATGAACTTCTGCACATCTTGCTAAGATCTTCACCCTGTCCTCTCCAACATGGACTTACAGGTCCCCCCGTTCCTTCCCTTGGTGCTTCTTCCCTTTCTGTCATTATCTTGGAGTAGCTCCTGCTCACAACCCACCCCTAATCGTCATCCAGTTACTGCACATCAGTTTAGATCAGAGCAATGCTTCCAAACTCTTTCTCTAGTAGGGGCTGAAGTTTTCCACCCATCTGGCCCTATTCCTGAATGCTACAATCCCAGTCCGCTTGTCAGACACCCCTCAAGTGACTCTACTTATGCACCTTAAAAACTTAACCCAACATCACCCCGTTTCCAATCTACATTCCCCCCTAAGTGTCCCTAAACCAGTAGTTCCTATCCTTGGGTCCAGATGTTCTGGACTAAAACTCCCAGAAGCCTTCAGCATCAGCTGTGCTAGCCAGGATTTCTGGGAGTTGTAGTTCAAGAACATCTTGGAGACCCAAGAATGGGAACCACTGCCCTAAACCCTTCATCAACCCCAGGCTCCCACCCCTTTTTTCACGCCACTGCTCCCTAAAAATCCCAACCACCTCCCAACCATTTTGCCCAGCTTTTCGCCCTCCTGTTTCCTAACTCAGAAGCAGCTCCCAATTTAGGCCCCTTTCAATCATACAAGGGAATATCCCCTCCCAGCGCTCACAGTTTTTACTTTTTAAAAAAAAACACCACAACTCCCAGAATCCCCCAGGGTCAGCCCGACTACAAAGCAGGCACCCCCATGCTTGTTGCCTGAGGGATTCTGGGACCTGTAAAAGAAAACAACACATTTTATTTAACTGATTTAAGCACAGTTAAAATATTTTCACTCCATTTTTCCTCTTTTAAAAGGATCCAAGGAGGCTAGGGCTGCATTTCTGAACTCTTTCCCCCTCTCCTCCAGGCTCCAAATCTCTGCCACTACCTGGAAGGGGCCTCTTTATGGCCTCCCATGTGCCTTTCTAACCCCCCCCATCATCCCACCCATACAGTTCAGATGTAGTTCCCCCCCACCTTCACATCCAATTCCCGAACACCTCCCCACACCCCACACCCCCAGCTTGTCTAGTCCTGATCTCCTTCGTGTTTTAAGTCTTGCAAGCCGCCTCGGGGCCCTGTTGAGGCGGAGGGGGTGGGGATACACATCTAAAATAAAATAAAATACCGTTTAGCAGCTCGGTCTCCCCCTCCCACCCTCTTTTCCTTCCTCTCCTTCTCTCTTTCTCCCTCGACCCACCTTGAACCTTCCAATTTCAAGCCAGCCCCCCCCCACACACATACGCACCTTCTTCCCGCCTCAGAAACACATCTGGGGGGCCTCCCCTCGCCCCCCAACCCCTTTTTTTACCTCAGGTTTGGGGGTCCCCTGGCTAACCCAGCACCCGCCACCTACTTCTTTAGCGACACACGACATCCCCCCCACATCCCGGTCCAATACGTTTTCTTCCCCCCTCATAACTTCACCCTCCCCTTTTTTCCAGCCCCCTCACCTATGAGGAGACCATATTGGCCGCCATGGCGCGCTCGGGGCGCCTCGAGGGCTCCTCCAGGCCCGGCGGGGCCCCCTCAGGAACTCCGGGCCCGGACGCTCCTCATCGCCTCCCGCCGCCGTTGTCGTCGTCGTTTCGCTCTCTCTCTCTCTTTCCCCCTCACGCAGCCGAGGGCCGGCCCAGCCTTGAGGACTTCGGCAATCTCCGGAAGGATTCGGGTCTCTCCGCTCGCCCGCTTCGGCGCTCCCCGGAACCAGTCGGGCACTTCCGGTCTTGCCCAACAAGGGGCAACGACGGGTGGGAGGGCGACGCTTCCGTCCCAGCGGAGCTCGGGCTTTCCCGGCAAATCGGATCGGGAGGGGGGGATTTCCCCGGCACGAATGAAGGCGATTCCTAACGACTCCGTCCGGGAATACACGAAGGGAACTTCGTGACGTTCCGGAGCCTTTCGGCGCTGTCCGTAAAATCCACCCCCAATCAGATGAGGAGGGCGGAGTTCCGACTGTTCTTCCGCGACAATCGTGGGCTACCGATCTTCGGGCATTTCCGTCAACCGCCTTTCGGCTGTGATCGGCCAACATCGTCTCTCCCCGACAGAATAAAGCTTTTAACTCTTTCTCACCCTCCTGCCTCGGTTTTTGACTTTTAACTTGGAGCTTATTACTTATAAAAAGCCGTTTCCAATTCTGAGCTAAACCTCCTCAGCTCAAAACTGTCAGTTAACTTGACAGTTACAATTTAAAAAGTAATATTTCATCCTTAAAGTAACGAAGTTACTTTTGAATATCACCCGGGTGCTAAAAAGCTGCTGGTTTGTGATGCAAAACCTAAGTGAACTCTGATGTAACTGTTACAAGTAACTAACAGTTATAGCTTAAAAGGAATATTATCTCTCTCATTACAACTATGTAACTTAGTTATGCCTTAGTTACTATACAATAACTTAATTACAATTTCTGGAGTTTGATTTCCCAGCCTATGTAGCCTTGCACAAGCTACACTGAACTAGAGCACCCGCAGAAGAAAAGACTGGGAAACTACTGTACTTCTAAGTCCTTTACGCCGAAAACTCAGAATAAATAACACACAATTATTATGATTAACTAATTATTTGTAACTAGTTACTTTTGAGCTCTGGAATATATGAAGAATTTTAGGTGCATATATTCTGCAAAGCTGCTGCTTGCTAGAAAGTTCTGTCTGATTTGAAGCTGCAATATATTAACACCAGTAGGTTTATTTGTGACATTCATTAGCTGTGGAAACAATATCATTCATCTGTTCCATATGAAGTTTCATATCTCCAACCTATACAGTATATGTATTATGGTACGCGTTGTCAAATTGCAGTTGCAACCTCAATAGGTTTTTCAAGGTAAGTGAGTCATTTAAGGAATGGCTTCACCAATTCCACATCCCCAAGGACTTTTTTTTTTAATGGGCAAGTGGGGATTTGACCCCAGATCTTCCTAGTCCTGCTCCATCACTCTATTCACGACACCCCATGGATTCTCAGACAAATGGAGATACTTGATACAATATTCTAGCGTTTCTTATGCAAACGGAGATCTCATTTCCACAAATTTTTATCTTCTCCACGTCACTTTTCGAACAAATCTTACTACTTTATACACCTTTTATGTAAAGGTTTCCAGAAATGCATGGCTGAATTTTATGAAAACACGTATTCTTCCCTCTCATCCCATGTCAGAAGCACCAAACACAAGGGCCTCCAACGTAGTGACATTAGAAATATTATGTTACCTTGAGCTGTTTGGGAGAACCTCGGTGGCCGAATAGGCTACAAAACCCTCACCCTGTCCCATGAATGCGCAGAAGGGGAAAGAAGGGGCACAGCATGGCCGGATTAGGGATTATATCGTTTATTTCTCTGCGTTGCTCACAGTGTTCAGGCCTTCCTTTGCTCTCGCGATCGGCACGTCAGATCCTGCCTCATTCAAAATCCCTGGGAATGTCAGCGAAGTAGAAAGGGTGGCCGCAAGAGGAGCGCGTCGGGGTGGAGACCCTTTTCCTGATATTTTTCAGAACTTCACAGAATCCGGCATCTTCAAGACATGTAGAGAGGAGGCAAGGCCTTTCTCGCAGCGAGGTTAAGAAGGAACATGGGATGGAAAAAAAACTCCCCAGATCTCCCTCTTTCGCCCGCGACGCCCCTCGCTCAGCCAGCCCCGGTCCCCTCAAAGCTTCCGTTTTCCAACGGAGAAGACCTCCGTCTCTTCACATTCAACGTCTGAGACGTTCTCCCTTCCCCGTCTTCTCCGCCTCGGATCGTCCACTGACTTGCAGCGGCTCCTCCTCACCCATAAGTTAATAAAGCACATCACATTTGGTTAGTCGAAGGAAAGGATCGGGGTTCGGGGGGGGGGGGAGGGGAGAAGAGATTCCAGCCTTCTCGAGGATCCATCCTGCCTGAGCGCTCAAGTTCCCAGGAATCGGCCGGAGGGGGAGGGAACGGAGGTCACGCCAAGCTTTCCTCTTTCCGAAAGAGGCACTGTACGGAGTTCGGGGTGTGTGGGCACACCGTTACCCCCCGGTTTCAAGTGCTCACCCCAGCATCCGGTGAGGGGGCCACGGCAGGAGCCACGGCGTGGCCGCCGGGAGGGCCCAGCACTCGCCACTGGAAGATGCTGGTGTCCTTGCCCCCCATGGAAATCAGGTGGCCGTCATCGTGGGTGAACCGCACGTTGGTGACGTGGCTACCGTGGCCTCCGTAGTCACGACTCGGTGCCTGTGGGGGGGAGATGGCGGAAAAAAGGGGAAGGCGGCATGAGAAAGGATATCATCATCATCATCATCATCATCATCATCATCATCATCATCATCATCATCATCATCATCATCATCATCATTATTATTATGATTATGATTATGATTATGATTATGATTATGATTATGATTATTATTATTATTATTATTATTATCCCCCACCTTCTAGACAAAGTCTACTCAGGGCGGCTTACATAAAATCATTCATAAGACAATATACATATACAGTTAAAACAACAATTTAAATTAACAAGGTTCCTTGGAGGAATCTCGCTGACATTACGGCTGGGAAGGACACTCAAGCCGTGCAACTCGATGCCAAGTCTGACCTACATTGCGTCAGTGACACGACTCGGATTCGAATCAAGGTTGTTGGTTTTTTTTTCCAATGATTCGGACTCGAGACTCGGAACCTGCCCGTCCCCTCCCTTTCTTCCGGGGGCAAAAAAAGCTTGTTTTTCAAGAGGGACTCAGACTTGGGCCTTGAGACGCACAGACTTGCGCCAACATCCCTACGTTTGGGACTTAGAAATATCTGTCGGTGTGGAAAAGGAGAGGCCCATTTAGTCAGGGGAGGGGGAAGACGGTGAATGTCGGCCTGCCCCATAGCGGACATAATGCATGTGGGAAGGGACCGTCTCCTGCACTTGAACGGAGGCATTCATGAGATCTTTCTTTGAGAAACACAAAGAGTGGGTGGTATCTTTTCTTGGACCACGAACAAACCATACAAATCGCACCCTTCTGCTCTTAAGAATGGAGCGTGCGCAAGAGAGCAGCCTGAAGAGGATCGCCTCTCACAGACACAGTTTTAGGACTCTGATCTACAGCTTCTCTGCACAACCCTTGGCAGGGTCGGGCTGAGCCTGAGGAAGGGGAATTCCTCCATGAAAGCTTGCAATGTGTACTTTTTTAAAAAGTGGTTCAATAAAAAGTATCACCCACTCTTATTAATTGGGGACCGCATGGCCTGTTCCTTGTTCTTCTTAGAGAAATCCACCCTTGATTGAGCAGTCTTGATCCACTAGAAGCCGTTATCAAACTTGGCTAAAGTGTCTGTGAGCATGGAGGGGTTCAAAATCCAGATGCCTCTGGATGACACTGATCATCTGGATTAGCACAACTGGGTATTGTTCACCTCCTGCCCTTTCCTGAGTGAACCCGAATTGCCAGCAGGCATCCTTGCCCTCATTACATTGTGTCTTGATCACCGCAATGCGACTACCATGGGTTTGCCCTTGAAGACTGCCTAGGAGATTTGGCTGGTGCAAAATATTATGCTTGTTTTTTCCGGCACTTGCTTTACCCACATTGCTTTTCTAAGTCCATTCAGAAAAAGTTTGTTTGAACCTTAAAAAAATCCCGATGATTTGGAAGCCTCTACATTTAAGGCATGTCCTGTCTGGACGCTAAGATCCACATCAGAAGAGGATCTGTTGAGAATGCCATCATTTGAGGAAGCCTTCTTGAGGGACACACGGATGTGGGGTTATTGTTTTTATTCTCCTAGTATTTTCTCCCAGCCCCCACTTTGATCAGTTCCTATAACGGCTGCTTTGAGGAGATGTAAATGTCGACGTGGCATTTTTAAAAATTTATTTTGATGATTGCCCATTTTAATGGTTTTACTCTCTAGGCTGCTTCTAGCATTGATTTTTAATGTTTTTTCCCCCCTTTCAATTTTTTTAAAATTCTGTTATAATAAAAATACAAAAGCACCATCAACAAAAAGCAACAACATTATAACTACAAACATAACACTATCATCGTTATTGTAAGTAACAGCTCCTATGCACAATGGTTCTGATTTCTATCATTCTGTGTTCCTTCCCCCGCTGGGGTTTTTTAATGTTTTGACTATTTTTAACGACGTGACTGGCCCCTTTGAGAGTGATTTTAAGCAAAAAGATGGGCTAGAAAGGTAAATAAACGGATTCTGCTTTCTCTGCAATGGTAGCACACAGTACAGAATGTGAAATAACTCTTCTATGAGCTCTGCTTTCCTTCCTTGCTTCTCCCCTGCCCAAGTTCCTAGTCCTCATGGTTATGAGGAACACGCATTGCACAGCCTCTCTCTCTCTCTGTGGTTCCTACCTTCGGCTTGGCGCAGGGGTACTGGAAAAGGTGCACCTTGCAGAAGTCATCAGCCACGGCTACCACCCGCTCATTGTGGGAGCGACAGAGCGCGTTGATGTCAGTGCCGTCTGAGCCATCAGGCCACACTCCTGTGGGCCATGCCAGGATGCGAGAGACAAAGAGGTTTCGGGAAGTGGAAAAACAAATATTTAGTTTTTTTTAAAAAAATCCACAGGAAGCTGTGTGGTCATTACAGAATACAAATGTAGAAAAATATGACACCTTCACAGAGACCCCTGAAAACCAAGTGATTAATGCAAGCTTTCGTGGAATGAAAATCCCACTTTTTCAGGCACACACTAGGAACTTGGGAGTAATGCAGAACCATTATAAGCGAATATCCCAAAACTGCATGGCAAAGCTTGCCAGGCGTAATCTTCTTAAGGTGTGTTTAAAGCTAGCTGCAAGCAGGCTGTAGGGCTGCAGCCTAACGCTCCACTCCTGGTGTCCTGTGGCTGGAAATCTCCACAGTGTTCAGACACAGGAAGCCCATCAGTCTGCATAAGGCTCTCATTCCCCAACATGGGATTGGTCATCGCAAAGCGAAAATACCCCATAGGGAACATCGCAAAGCGATCACAAAAGTGATCGCAAAATGTTCATCGCAAAGCGATTTCGTCGCTAAACGGAGCGATCGCTATGCGAGGCACCACTGTATTCTATGATACTGTTATTCTAAAATTCTAGTTGTTGTAGTTAGTATTTAGCTTTATTTCTCCCTTCCTTTGATGAGCTCAAGGCTGTGCTTCTGACTGTTCTCCTTCCCTGCCCTCTACTTAAACCTCACAACACCCCCATGAGGTAGGCCAGGCTGAAAGGGGGAGAGTGACCGAGTCAGATGGAAGTGAGCTTCGTCTCAAACAAGATGGGACCAAGGCTAATTTGAGAGGCAGTACGGTGTAACGGTTGGAGTCTTTGACTGGGACCTGGGGAAAATCAAGGTTCTAGTCCCCAAAGAGCCAGGAAACGTGCTGGCCAATCCCATGCTCTTTCAGTGCGGCCAACCTCGCAGGGTTGCTAAGAGGATAAAGGGAGGAGGCGAGCCATAGGCGCCACCTTCAGCTCACTGGAGGAATGACGGGGAATCCACATAACGTGCAACAAGAAAGGCCAAGGGAAGAGTGCTGAAAACAGGCCGGCTTCTTTCCCCCAGAGCGGCTTTGTCTCTTGAGATTTGTCCCCGAGACTCACGAAAGACATGGAAGCCGAGCACACAGGTGTAGGAAGCCCATTCCCGGTCTCTGTTCTCAAACCGATTCCTCAGCAGCTTGCACCCGTTCGCCACGTCCCCTGCCGGTGAGACACACGGGAACTTTTAATCAATTAATTAATTTCACATCCGGACTTTTGTCTAACATGGGGATCCCAAGGCAGTTCACAACGGGATTAACAACCAGAGGGAACAAAAAACCCAGTAAGCAGTCCGATTAAAACACAATTAAACAGATGGCCAGGTTCTTGTTGTTTTTTTTGAAACCACGGCAAGATTAAAAGCCATCATTTTATTACATATTTATTGAAGATCTTTATTCTACCCCACGTTTCTCCTTGAAAAGGACCCAAGGTGGCTTGCATTGTTAAAGGGCAACACTGAAAGCTAAAAACAGTGAGCATAGAAAGGTGGTTTACGTCACCAAAAGACATTATTTAAAGCTAAAAATATATATTTATTTATTGCACTTATAGACGTTGTCTATAAGTGCAATAAAGTGTCTATAAGTGCACAATCTAGACATTGTCTATACATCAGAGATTTTTTGTTTAAAGAAAAGACATGGCAACCCCATTAAATTTCCCTTCCTCAGCATCTCGTTTCCAAAGCTCTGTCAAAATAAAAAGGTATTGGCCTGTTAATGGAAGGAAGGACAATAGAAAGAGAAGCAACGTATGTCCTTCTAGAGCAGGGGTTCCCAGCCTTGGGGTCCCCAGATGTTCTTGGACTACAACTCCCAGAAATCCTGGCCAGCACAGCTACTAGCAAAAAGGCTTCTGAGAGTTTCAGTTCAAGAACATCTAAGAGAGACCCTAAGGCTGTGAATCCCTGCCCTAAATGGAAGTTCGGCACTCGGGAGAGAAACCACCAGCACCAACCATGTTTATGAGGGCGACAAGACAGACAGAAGGGCATCTCTTAGAGCAGTGGTCCCCAACCTTAGGCCTCCAGATGTTCTTGGATTTCATCTCCTAGAAATCCTGGCCAGCAGTGGTGATGGTGAAGGCTTCTGGGAACTATAGTCCAAGAACATCTGGAGGCCTAAGGTTGGGGACCACTGCTCATCTGGAGGCCTAAGGTTGGGGACCACTGCTTAGAGAACTTAAAACCCAGCAAGGCTTCTACGGGGGAGACACAGACCTTCAACCAACCCAAATCAAAGTCATAAGCACAAGAAAACATGAATGGGACAGAAGATGCCAGGGCGCTGCTAAGAGAGAGACTAGTTTATTTATGTGGAGCCTTGTGGCGCAGAAGTTAGACTGCAGCCAAAACTCTGCTCATGACCCAGGGCTCAATCTTGGGTGGCCGGCTTGAGGTTCGCTCAGCCTTCCATCCTTCTGAGGTCAGTAAACTGAGTGCCCAGCTTGCTGAGGCTGGGGTGTAACGTGAAGCCTGCATAATCAAATTGTAAACCACCCATAGAGTGCTTTAAGCACTTTTGTAGGCATCGTTTAGTCTCGAGAGACTATGGTAACGGGCTCTGTATGGAGGACTTTACGTACTGTGGGGCAGTATATAAGCAGCACGTTTTTATTATGCAGGAACTGTAGCCAATCCTCGGTTTTACCCAGAGCCTTGTCTTCCTCTTGTTATTGCAAAAACAAAGTTCTGCACTGCAAGAATAAACAAGTGGCTCTGCAGTTCTTAGATGATGATGATAGTTGGGTGTCTGGACAGGAATGCCCATGCAGCGCACTTCTGACCCAGAAGGGGGGTGAGCTCGAGATATTTTGCAGAAAGAATGCTTCGGGATCCTTTAGGATCCTTCAGTTGCACCCATGTGGGTCGGAAAATTCCGAGTCCAGAGTTTTAGATGTTGTTTCTTAACTACCGAAACTGGGCTGCCCTTACTGTCCTTCCACACAGTTTGTTGTGGAATCATTTCAGAGTTTATGTTATTGTTCCCATCATTAAACTCTTGGGCGTCAGAAGCCCTCGCTTCTCTACATCTCCTCCTCCAGGTCGGTCCGGAGAGACCTTCTGCCAACCCTGGTCTCAGGGCAGCCTCATCCGACTGTCGCCATCATAGGGTTTTAAATCAGAGGACAAAGATGTATGCCGGATCTGTTCCCCCGAACCCATCCTGAACAGGCGAGGTACTTACAGTATAAGATTTCATAGTCTCCCGAATTGGACATGATGAATTTCCCGTCTTTGGACCAATCCAGATGGGTGATAAAGCTGGAATGTCCCTGGTAGTTGCAGGGAGAAACAATGCATTATGACACCTTTAAGGTTTCTTCATTTTAAGACATTAATCAGCTACTTTTCAGCTGACTAGCAGCCATCAAAGGCTGATGGCCAGGACCACTGGGAAAGGCAGAAGGCAGCAGGAGAAGAGGAAGGCCAACTACAGTCGTGCCCCGCTGGACGATTACCCTGCTCTACGATGAATTCGCTTTACGTTGACGTTTTTGTGAGTTTTAAATGGGTTTTTTTCGCTGTGCGAAGACATTAATCAGCTACTTTTCAGCTGACTAGCAGCCATCAAAGGCTGATGGCCAGGACCACTGGGAAAGGCAGAAGGCAGCAGGAGAAGAGGAAGGCCAACTACAGTCGTGCCCCGCTGGACGATTACCCTGCTCTACGATGAATTCGCTTTACGTTGACGTTTTTGTGAGTTTTAAATGGGTTTTTTTCGCTGTGCGATGATCGGTTCTGAGTTTTAAATGGGGTTTTTTCGCTGTGCGATGATCGGTTCCCTGCTTCGGGAACCAATTTTCGTTTTACAACGATCAGCAGACTCTGCCACTGACCTGCCGCCCCTCCCCTCCCCCTGTTCCCACACTTTGACTCACCGTGCAACGGCCTAAGCGGGTGTATTTATGACCACACTCCTCGACGCTGTAGATATAGATGAAATTGTCGTGGGAGCCGATGGCTAAGAAATCCCCATCTGGCAAACAGGAAAAGAAAAAAAACCAGAATCAATGAGGTGGACAGAAACAAGGGAATAGAGGTGGTGCTGGAGACGGCCCAGCATTGGAGAAAAGAGAATTCAGTAGCCTAACCTGGTGAATAGCGCACCACAGAGAGTTGTTCACTGCCTCCAGAACATGAAAACACGTGCCGTCCTTCTGTGTCCAACACCACCCAGCTGGGGAGGAAAAAAAATGAGAGTTTTTTCCCCCCACCCCAGTAGTCTTTGGGAGAAAGCCCCAGGTTTTCTTCCCGCCCTCAACTGTTGAATCAAGATTTTTTAAAAATGTAACCAGGTTCTCCTTTTTCCTGCATGCTGAGACAGGGGAGGGAGGGGAGGAAGGGGAGGGGAAAAGGAAGCTTCGCCTGTTGAATTTCTGCTTTTTATGCAAAAGCAAGCCAAGGGATGGACGAGCCCTGTGCAACCCTGTGGGGCTGCCACACACACACAGAGGCAGACAGAGAAGCTGGAAGCTGGTTGATGGGGGCGGGCGGGGAGGAAGTACTTACCCTCCAGTGGTGAGCCCCACTGCAACTACATTTCCACTGGGATGAAAATCGGCACAGAGTCCCGTTTCCTACAGGCAATAAGAAGAGGTTCTGCGTTAGCTCTCACGTCCACGGGACGATTTAGGAGGCCACAACAGACGTGTTCTGTGTATTTAAGATAGAACGGCACTATTGGCAACAGGAAGCCCAAGTATTTGAAAAGAAAAAAAAGGGGTGGCGGGCAAAAGAGAACTTAGTGTCCCTCCCACCTCATGCCACGGCTTAACTCCCCACAGATCCTCCTTGCCTCCAGGCACGAGAACCACTTTCTCACATCCGACCAGATACACAGAGCCCTTTCTTAATGTCTGTGATGCAACACACAGAACAGTTGCTGGGTTCTCTCACTCGGCCTAAGACGCTGATTTGCTTATGGAAGGAGGTACAGTGGTGCCTCACTTTACGATTGCCCCGCATTATGACAAATCCGCTTAACGACGATCTTTTTGCGATCGTAACTGCGATCGCAAAACGATGGTTTGAATGGGGGAATTTCGCTTTGCGATGATCGGTTCCCTGCTTCGGGAATGGATTCTTCACAAAATGACATTTTTTGAACAGCTGATCGGCAGTTTCAAAATAGCCGCCGGGTGATTAAAATGGCTCCCCAATGTGTTTAGGGACGGATTCCTTGCTATACAGGCAGCGAAAAGGGCTGCCGTATGGAGGATCTTCGCTGGACAGTGAGTTTTTACCCCACTGGAACGCAATGAACGGGTTTCAATGCGTTTCAATGGGGTTTTTATTTTCGCTTTACGATGTTTTCGCTTAGCGGTGATTTTCCTGGAACGGATTATCATCGTTAAGCGAGGCACCACTGTATTTTGAATTAAGAGGTCTACAGATTGGTGGTGATGGTGTTGTTGTTGGTGGTGCTGGTGGTGTGTGTGTGTGCATGCACGCGTGCGTGCGTGTACTACAACTCTCAGAATTCTATGCAGCCTGGGGGATTATGGACATTGCAGTCCAAATTCAGCAAATTCTGCACAAATTCAGATCTGTCACAACAAACTACGATCATCGCTACCTCCTGCAACACCAACACCTCAAAAGGACAAGTCCCATGCGGAACGTGTTAGCTTTCCACAGCTCGAGATTCTCCACTCTTCTCCAGCTCGAGAAAACACCCCAAAGGCAAAATCTGCCAGTGGTAGCTGTACCGAGCACTATCCCAGAACTGGGCCCATTTACGGTAAGCGGACAAGAGAGAAGAGCCCAACTGCATGCATTCCATTCAGGAGGAACAAATTTGATAAAGGGAGAAACAAAAGAGAAGGGTAACATCCACAAGGCTTGACCTAAGCAGAAACGTGCCAAGTGAGGAAGCAACCCGTTTGGCTTTTGAAGCCACTCCTAAAATACAACTGTAACAGCTAGAAACCTAGGTTTCTCTCTATATAAGTATTGGAGAAGTTAACGATTCTCAGAAAGTGGAAGCCTGTGCTCAGCATCACGTCATGCCGTGCCCTAGGGTGGGGCGAGGTCTGGTGGCCCTCTCTGCCTTTGATCATGCGCCCCCCCGATCCTCCTGCTCCTGGGCATACGGTACCTCCAGGGTGACGCTCCAAGCCAGCGCATGCTCCCCACCATCCCACATGCAGAGCTGCCTGTCGTAGCTGCAGGTCACAAAGAGGGTCCGGGAAGGGTGCGTGCCGAGCCCCCAGAGTTCGTCCGTGTGCCCCTGCAAAGGAAGAGATCGGAGCTTGCAGGCCACGGGGTGGGGGGCAGGCGCAGGGCCCGTCGGAGGTCTTGCCCTCGGATCAGCTGGCCCGGCTCACCTGGATGATGGGTCGGAAGCCGCCCGCCAGGCTCCCCCGCAGCAGGGCGTTGCGCGTCGTCCCGACCAACAGCTCCCCGCCGTCCCCCTCGGCGATGGTGCGCACGGCCCCGAACTGCTCTGGGATCTAAGCCGGCGACAAAGGGACCGGGGTCAGGCTGCGCCGTCCGGCGGAGCAACGGCCTGTCCCCATCCTGATCTCCGCAGGATCCCCGCTAACCTCCGCTTCCTGCAGCAGGGTGAGGTCGGGGCTCCACCGGACCAGGCGCCGGTCTTTGCCACCCCCGCTGAGCACCGAGCCGTCGCGGCACAGGCAGAGAGAGAAGATGCTTCCCTCGTGCGCTCGCGTCTGCTTGCTGATTTGGTACGTCTCTGCAAGGGGAGAGAAAAGGACAGGCACCGATCTCCACGTCAAATATCTGTCTTTGTTTTAATCGCAGCGATAGTCTTTTTTCATTTTTAGTACAAGGCTGTAAAATGTTGGGGAATCTACCGCAAGGCAGTTTTCTAACACGGGAGATTGGTCTGGACGAGTTCTGCTGTCCTTCAGCCGGGCTTACCTTTAGCTGCCTTGCCCAGGGTGCGGACGTCGGCGGCCACCCTGGCCCAGGTCAGGATGTTGCCCTCCGAGTCCCCCGTGAGCACCTCGGCGTGGGTGCTGAACACAAAACAGTGGATGAACTTGGGCTTCTTGTACTTCTGCAGGAAAGAACGGGAAAAGGGAGGGCATCGTACTGAGCCTCGTGGAGCAGCGGTTAAACGGCAGCACTGCGATCCAGACCCTGCTCATGTCCTGAGTTCAATACCAGTGGATTCATTTCGCCGGCCCGAGGTTGACTCAGCCTTCCATCCTTCTGAGAGCGGCAAAATGGGTACCCAGCTGTCTGGGGACAGCGAGCTGTGTGCAGCTTGCAAAATTACATTGCAAACCATCCAGAGAGTGTATTATGCACTATGGGGCAGTATATAATCAGAACCCTTTGCTTTTGCTTTGCTTTGCACAGGACAAGGAAAAAGTGGACAAAATTGGCTTCGTTTTCTTATCTCAGAGTTTCAGGAAGTGGGCCTTTCATCCCCTCTATACCTCTCTTGGGTGTGTGTGTGTGTGTGTGTGACCATCCCCTCTATACCTCTCTTGGGGTGTGAAGCACGCTTAAGCCTTGTAAGGCTTCTGCCATTTGGCTGGTTGAAGCGACCGGTGGGGGGCAACAGAGACAAACCCCACCTACCCACCCAATTCTACATCTTGACCACGGTCTTAGAGGACATAACCATAGGCGAGGTCTTGGAGGATCTGAACTGCATCTCAGATGCCAGCTTGCTACCTCTAGGTATGGCCGGGGGGTGGGGGGCTTTCCTGTTGTCGGTAACGAAGTCAGATTTCGTTACCAATTCGGTGGGCTTGCGTTTGTTTTTTTGCAACAAAAACTTCCAGAAGTGTAGACCAGACCAAACGCAGAATCATAGAGTTGGAAGGGGGCCTCTAAAGCCATCGGCTTCAACTCCCTGCTCAAGGTAGGAATCCAAATCAAAGCAGATTGTCCAATATTTTCTCTCGAATGCCTCCAAGCCCATTGGAGCCCTCACCACCTGCCAAGGCCACGGGTTCCATCATCATACTGCTCTAACAGTTAGGAGGTTTTTTCCCCCTGATATTCAGTCTAAATCTGGCTCCCTGTCACCTGAGCCCATGATTACTTGCCCTGCAGTCGTTTCATGAAACACCCTCTTGCCCATCTCTGTTGCCCTCCCTCAGAGGCTCCACCTTGCCCGCAACTTCCACCTTCTGCCCACCAACTGGACCTCACCCCAAAGATGCCCTGCTTCTTCGTCAAGCTGCTTCCGCTCCAGGTCCAGAAGTAGATGTGGGATTTTCCAGTGGAGATGATGTTGCTGCTGTCTTGCGGGTTGAATTCCACAGTCAGGACAGATTCATTTGTGCTCTGGAAGAATCACAGGAAAGTGAAGTTGGAAGGGGACCTATAAAGGCCATCAACCCCCCTGCTTAAGGCAGGAATCAAAGTCAAAGCTGATCTGACGGAGGGTTATCGAAATTTCTCTCAAATGCCTCCAGGGGTGGAGTGCTCACCCCCCTCTTGAGGTCATGGATTCCATTGTCGTACTGCTCTAACAGTTAAGAGGTTTTTCCTGATATTCAGCCTAAATCTGGCTTCCTTTAACTTGAGCCCATGGTTGCGTGTCCTGCACTCCAGGATGATCGAGAAGAGATCCTGTCCCTCCTCTGTCAAACAGACTTTCACATAATATATCCTGTCACCCCCTCAGTCTTCTTTTCTCCGGGCTAAACATGCCCAATTCTTTCGGCCTTCCCTCTTAGGGCTTGGAAGGCGCCGTCGGAGTAGATGTGGGGAAGGAGAGAAATGTCACGATTTTAAGGGAGACGATATCAGGAGCAATAAAAAATTTATGGTGAGGGGTTAAATCTGGGACAGAAACGATACAGATTTGCAGCGTTCCGGCGGAGGGCTTCCCACCTGTTAGCGAGCCAAGGATGCTCTTACAGCAGCAACAGAAAGCAGCCCCAGGGCCATCTAAAGCAAACGGTTGACCACACTAAACAACCGCACCTAAAGGCCCCATAACAGATTACCCCCCCTCCCACAACTTATTTTCAACCCAGTCCCCCAGGGAGTTCCTCCACTTCCTCAAGGACTCACAAGGAGCCTTGCGGTGACTCAGAGAGAAAGCATTTTTTCTACATACAACGGATCACAACAGAACCTGGGAGTTAAAAACAAGGCTGTGTACATTCATGTTATTTATTGCATTTCTATTCTGCCTTTCCACTAGAAATAGCATGGCAGGAGGGTAACAAACATCATCAATTTTTTTTTTAAAAAATCAGAAACAAACTCCAGGATAATAACACTAAAATCATCAAAACAAGCATGAATCAAGCCAGTTTTAAAGGTCTGTATGTGCTGGTAGGGACACCGTTTCCTAAACAGAATTAAGGGTGAGAACATTTCCAGAGATGGGAATTGGTTTGGAGAGCGACGCTGCTGGTTACAAGGGCTTACCTTGATTTCAGCCAGCTTGCTCCCACGAGCGCAGTCCCACACAGACAGCATGTGTTCGTTGGACTCATCCACTACACACAGGTAGGCCCCCTCATCCTGGAAGAGTGGCACATGGGTCAGGTAGGACACGAGACAACATGAGCCCAGAGAGGACAAAGAACAGGAGAGCAGATTTGTGGCTTGGGTGTGTTTCAAGAGCCTCGGGTCCTTCCAAACAAGACCTTCTCAAAGGCTGAAAAATCACATGCTTTTTTTTTAAACTATGGCATGCGGACAGGGAGGATTCTGGGAACTGAAGTAAAAAAAAGTTACTTTCCAATTTCTTGCTTTTATCATATAACAAGTATGCCTCGTTCATTGTCTTTTACGAGAGCTGACAAACTCGACAGGACAGAAATGGGTCAGAAATGGTAAAGACAAACTGAATGGATTGCTTAGAGGGCAACTCATAGCGAAAGCAACAAACTACGGATAAAATAAACCATGGTCAGAATAAACCATGATTAAGCATGGGCAAATGAAACCTAAGGCGTTTAGGTGAGTGTCACAAAGAAAATGGGAACTTATTCCTCACTTCCTTGGTGTTGAGATTGATATACAGTATTTGCTCTTGTGAGAAGCTCTCTCTCTCTCTAGTTTTACATTCATTTCTCAATTTATTTGCATTGGCAGCCTTGTGTGGGCTTTCCTTTTCTTTATTAGATTAAAAAAAAACCTGGTTTGGAATGTATCAAGGAGGTCTTCTAGCTGAGCTTTGATCCCAGACACGGAAACCAGCGTTGTGATTTTTAAACAATGGAAAGTAAAAGCAAGATTCTAGTCCTTATTCTAGCGCTGGGACAGAAGTGGCCCCGGGCAGTGTCTCGCAATACATCCAAGCAAGAAACAAGGAGACATCTACTCCTTCACAATTCAACGGCTTGCGTAAAATCCTTCCCCAACATTAAACTATGCATCATAAAGAAATTCAGCATGTAACCTGAGGAAGAATTTCTAATTCCTGCTTTGTTTTATTTATTTAATTTATTTATTTTTATGAAGAATTTCTAATTCCTGCTTTGTTTTAGTGTCACAGAGCTCGGCCAGGTGTAGCGCTTGAGTTTCAGAAAACTCTTGTTCCTATTCTTTGATCGGTGAGCTCATGGGAAGCGCTGATCCGCGGACGCTCTCTGTCACGATGGAAATGTGCACTGCACGAGCTCAGAGGCACTGTCATCCCTCCCTCCGTCTTACATTACAAAGTCAAGGGCCCACATTTTAAAAAATGGAGGTGATCCCTGCCACAATCAAAGCCTGGGACCTATTGTTTCTCTCTTCCCACCGACTCAGCCCCCAAGTAGGAGAGAAGTCCGGAGAAACGGCAGCTCTCACCGCAGTCGAGAAGGCAAGGGAACCGACTCCTCTCTCAAAGCTGCCCAGCCCGATTTGTTGCAGCGTGGCGAGGGTGGTGGAGTCCCATATGTGAACAAAGGGCTGGAGGGGCTGCAAAAAGGAAAGCACAGGGAATTAAAAAGGTCCACAAGCGAGGCATCAAAGGGGCAGAGGTTGAAAACAGGTGAGTAGGAGGAAAACATGCCATTGTGAATTCGAATACAGTGTCTAAACTGGGAGTGGAGGACCTTTGGCCCTCTAGATATTTTGGACTACAATTCCCACAATCCAGTGGTGCTGGATGAGGCTCATGGGAAGCGTGAGCCAAACCACGAGGACAGCCAAAAAAATCCTCCCTCCAATCTAAACAATCACACTCTGTTAGTTATAAAACGGTGCCTTTTAACAAGGCGAACCGTTTCTTCACGTCCAGGTAAGCGGTGAGATTTGAACATGGCACAGCAGAACAAAGTGGAAAAGGGAGCAGTGCTGCCTTTCTTCACATCCAGGTAAGCGTTGAGATTTGAACACGGCACAGCAGAACAAAGTGGAAAAGGGAGCCTCATTTTTTTGGAGAAGAGAGTGTCTTCCTTGATGTTTAGCTGCAGGCCATGATGCAAAAAAAATTATAATACACAATTTTTTTTGAAGGCATGCAAGATACTGAAACAAAAATGGTATTTTTCCTGCAAGTCTTGGTAATATGTGAAAATTGTCTCTGCACAAAAAAAATAGTGACCATTCCTTTTCAGAAGCACACACACACAAAAAAAACACGGATGACTGCTGGAGAGGATGCAAGCAACCCATTCAGTGCTTTTGATCTCCACAAGCATGACAAACACCAAGGGCGTTGGCTGGTGACACGTTGTACAACCTGGGCATTCTTTACAGAATTTGGCTCCCTTTGCATGCAAACACACCACACAAAAACCGTTCCCATGCTCACTGCCCTCACTTGTCAGAAGTGCCACAAATGTCCTTGTGCTCTCCCGGGAGGACGAGAATACTTTTGCAGTTCGCTTCTGCGAGGGAGCAAGACCGAAGGTAATAGCCATAAGCAAAGGAAAAGCTAAATGGGCTGCTTCTGTGCTGCCCCATAGTGCTTAAAAGCACTCGCTGGGCAGTTTACAATTTAACGCCCCATAGCGCTTAAAAGCGCTCGCTGGGCAGTTTAGAATTTAATTATGGAGGTTACACATTGCCCCCCACCCCCTGAGCTGGGTATTCAATTTACCAACCTGGGAACCCCCCTGAGCTGGGTACTCAATTTACCGACCTGGGAATGATGAAAAGCTTAGTCAACCTCAAGCCAGCTACCTCAGCCCACGACGGAAAACTTAGTCAACCTCAAGCTAGCTACCTCAGCCCAGCAAGCTCGAACTCAGGATGTGAGCAGAGTCTTGACTGCAGTATTGCAGTTTAATCCCTGCACCACAAGGCTAGTCTGCACGGGCCCCAAGAGCCAGCAACCCCATCGGTGGAAGACTTTGTCCTTTGCTTGGAACAAGTAAATTCTGTTTCCAATACAGTGGTGCCTCGCTAGACGATGATAATCCGTTCCACTGAAATCGCTGTTTAGCGAAATCATTGTCGGAATGCATCAAAACCTGTTTAATGTGTTCCAATGGGGAAGAATTGTCGCTGTCTAGCGAAGATGGGCCATAGGAAAGCCGCTTTGCGAACCGCCAATCAGCTGTTTAAATAGCTGTCTTGCGAAGCTTAGGTCCCGAAAACACTTGTTTTGCAAGCGCGGAGGGAGCTGTCAAAATCCAAACATTGTCCAGCGAAATTCCCCCATAGGAATCACTGTTTTGCGAATCACTATAGCGATCGCAAAAAGTCAATGTCTAGCAAAAAAACTGTCATGCGGGGTAACTGTCTAGCGAGGTACCACTGTATAGGGATAAATTAGTGACCTTTAAAGTTTCTGGTACTAGATTAAGCCTCGACAAAACACTTGAAACCCATCCACCTGAAACAGGAACACAGAACCGTCTCGGTGCCAATATTTACCTTCCCGTCTTTGTCCACCCCTGCCATCTGTCCCGAGGCAACACGGACTCGGTCCGGATGCACAGCTAGGCTGAAAGAAAGACAGAACCATGAGCAGGAAGGAAGGAACCTGGCCGGTAATAGTCATCCCCTTGCAAAGTCACCCAAATTACTCTACAGAGGATACAGAGAGCAAGTCGTTAGAAGCAGGCATTCCTGCAGTGACAAGACATCTGATAGTCCTCACCGGAGCGGATTTAAACCCAGAGCGGATTTACCACCTCACTTAACATGGGAGCCACCAGCTCCACAGGGATGTTCCTAAACCCACACTGCCTGCCACCAATTCCAGGTGCTTAGTTCCAGACAGAAGGCAGAGATCGCAGAGTTAAAACCCTGAGACCTCCCCAGCAGAAGGAACTATGGCATCATCTGCCACTCCCCTGAGAGTCTTTCCAGTTCCCTCTGAGCTTAGGTGCCCTTCCCGGGAACCGGATATTGTTGTAAGCGATTCCTAGTTTAATACGAAATATCCGGAAGTGATTCGGTCTGGAGTGAGCAACTAAGAGGCACGAACTTTACAAAAGACCCGCTCCTTCTTTGTGGTATATGGACCAATGAAACTGCCTGCATTTTCCGACTTTCCTTCTATGGAGGAGAGGCGGCTGTGGGAACTGTCATGGTGAACACCTGCATGTCTAAATTCCACACTGCATCGCTGGTCACAGAGACGAGAGCAGGCATATTCCATTGACTAGCCTGGTCAGTAGATTCAAGCATTCTGTCCAGATGCTGGTCTGCACAAAGGCAGGAGGAAACGGATGGCTTCTAATGACCTATAAGACCCAATGAACCATCCTGAGGCCTGCTTAGATGTCTGTATGTGCCACATAAGGCAGATCAAGATCTGAAACCAGGCATATTCTGTTGACTAGCCTGGTCACTAGATTCAAGCATGCTGTCCAGATGCTGGTCTGCACGAAGGCAGGAGGAAACGGATGGATTCTAATGACCTATAAGGCCCAATGAACCATCTTGAGGCCTGCTTAGATGTCTGTATGTGCCACATAGTCATCATAAGAGTATGCCAGGGTGTCCATACATTTCCTAGTGTGGTGAAGAGTTCTGGATAACCCGAAACCTTGCAGACTACTGCGGAGTGGCACTTCATTCCAATCAAGGTGGGTCGTCTGTTTACTCGCGTCACCAGCCAGTGTGGGTGATGCAGGGGGAAAAGAGGGGGCAGATGTCCCCAGATTCTGGCAACTCACCAGCGTACACAGTCGGTGTGCTGCAGGTAATGCCGCTGGGTGCGGCGCTGGACGTGGTACAGCACGACTACGCAGGCGATGAAGTAGACCAGCTCCCCTGAGCTCAACACGTAGA